GACCATTTCAAATAATCAAGTATGATTACTTGGCTATATAAGGACATGGCAACAGAATCAATGTTATGTTTCCCCCACAAAAGAAAAAAGTTCTATTCTTGAGATGTTTTGCCAACAATTTTATTAACCTGAAGTGAATAAGAAATTCTTCCAGACTGGGCAACTAGAAGTTTCTAACATGGTGATCTTGATCTACCAATAAATTATTATAAAACTATTCAGGGAATCTTCATATGCTGCACAGTCTACACTGAAGTGAAAAAGTCAGTAAAAAGTAGTGACATTTAGTAACACTTTGCCTGTACGAGTTTGATTATCTTGTCATAACTAAATATTAAAAGGTAACCAAAGGGATGTAATAACACTTATATTATTAATAATATTCCATTCTTAACAAACAAGATTTTAAACAAAATATGGCAGCTGAATCCCAATAATAAATCCAATTGTAAGCAGAATGTAAACGGTAAGTAAAACTGTAAAAATTGCCATTTCTAGTTAAAACAATATTATTTCAAATGGGTCATTAGGGAATGACAAAATTAAATTAGGACTGTGTTACTGAGATTCAATTGTTGACAGAAATGCAAAAAAATAACTTGATTTAATTTTAATGTCTTTGAAATAGACCAGCTATTTCTTTGTAATAAATTTTTATCCCACTTTTATTATATCGTTAATATTTGAAATTTAACATTGCTTTGAATCACAACTTATAAATAAATTCCATCTGCTGGATAACACACACATTTTCTCATGGTACTTTAGGCCTTTTTGAGGGCATTATGTCTTTGAATGAGGCTTCATGTGAGCATTGAATAATACTTTTTAAGCATGCACATGCTATGTTGGGTTCAGTCTCTGGTTACATGGTACACTTTTGCCAACAAAATGTACCATTTTACCATGAGAAAAAAGGTAATCCTGGCATATATGAATATGTAACATGCCTAAACCAGTAACAATGCTTTTTTTTGTTGTTTCTTATAAAGCAAAGAATTATCCCTTGAAAAAGTAAGTGCTCACAAGTGCATAATTTCCACAAATATCATGGAAACAAGACCAACAATCTTTATACAATGCAATTTAGATTTTAACAAAAGCTAGCTTTTCTAAGGGGTGCCTTCCATTTGTCAGAACTAGCCTGCAAAACTGGTGTTTTTTTTTTCAGCCTTGCTCCAGACCTTTTGTTTAACTGTTCGCATGTACTCACATATTCAAAAAAGGACTGTCTTTAAGTCTATGTCAGAACTGACCAGCCAGACCATTCCTGTGAGAATCTCTCTTTTAATCAAAACTATCCAGCCAGATTAGTCAGATGCTAAATAGTATGCATGAAGGAAATTCTTTTTACCAAAAACTCTTGAAAAAGGCCTATTGTATTTTCAAAATGACTGGTGCGGCCATGGTCTGGCCAGCCAGTTCTGACTTTTGGAAAGCACCCTAAGATGACAAGAGAAGACAATTCACTTTCCTTAACCTGTGCTAAGTTTTTTGTTCAGCTGGGCTGAGTTGCTCAAAGCATGGTTAGCTTTAACCATTTGTTAAGCAGTATCAAAACCAATACGTTGTCAAGGTATTAAATGCTGGTTAACGCTAACCATGCTTCGAGCAACTGGGCCCACTGATCAATAACACAGCCCTGTTTTTCCAAACAAATTTTAATCCAGGACTGATGCTCAATAAATTACATTTGTAGATCAGATGATCTTTAAACTGCTAAATTGCCTGTGATGTTGACACCACTCCTGGTTTGGCTAATGACATGGCATAAAGACCAGGATGCAAGTTGATGTAATGGGGGAGCTAGAAAAATACAGCTTTCTTACAAACTTTCTGGGGTTGACTATTTAGATGAAGAAGTAAGATTTTGTAACATATCAAAAAACAATATTGCAGTGCAGCATTTTGCACCCCTTGGCAAAAACAGAAACAAAATAAAAAACAAGATTCTGAGAGCTGCTGATGTTGGGTGCCAAACCATTAAAAGCTTATGTCAACTTGCAAGTGACTTTCAGTGTGATTGGTGTGAAAAGAAGACATGCAAGAAGACTGCCTTAAAGACCTTCAAACCAAAAGGATTAAAAGGCCAAGGAAAAATCAATTTGGTGAATTTTGCCAGTGACAAGAAATGGTAGGTTTTAGTGTCATCTTGAACAATTTCTACAACCTTATTGTTACAAAGACAGAGTGGAGTGGAAGCAAGAGGTTTTAGAATCCTTGTGTTTTGGTCTGGCTACAGACCCGTCTGTGAGCCACATTACAATAATTATTCTTCAAGACCATTGTAGATGGGATATTCTCTTTGTTGATCAATCCAGACACCATATTGATGATGCCACGCCCCTTTTCACAAGCTCCAGTACTGGTAGCAATTTTGACAAGTATTTTCGTTGTTTTCTCCATTCTCTTGTGCCGTTCCACCAACATCTGTTCCTTTTCAGCCTTGCCTCTTATTAAAAGTTGTTCCCTCACCTTTTGCTTTCTGCGGAATTCTCTGCTACATTGCTTGTTTCTTTCTCTTCGTTTCCTCTTCTTTTNATATTCTCTTTGTTGATCAATCCAGACACCATATTGATGATGCCACGCCCCTTTTCACAAGCTCCAGTACTGGTAGCAATTTTGACAAGTATTTTCGTTGTTTTCTCCATTCTCTTGTGCCGTTCCACCAACATCTGTTCCTTTTCAGCCTTGCCTCTTATTAAAAGTTGTTCCCTCACCTTTTGCTTTCTGCGGAATTCTCTGCTACATTGCTTGTTTCTTTCTCTTCGTTTCCTTTTCTTTTCCTCTTGTTTTCGCTAATCACAAAAGGAGTAAAAGAAAAAAATAACGATGTGATTGTCTCTTTAGTCCTCTTGCAGAACGTTTCGTTTCATACTGTATCATAAGGTTTGCTTCTCCTATTTCATGTAGAACTGCTTTAATTTATAGGTCTTGATTTTTACCTCTTTCAGTTAACAGTTTAACAAAGTTGACCTCGAGCTTGAAAATATACTTACTATTTCATCGTTTAAGTCATTTAACTCTTGACTTGTGTTTTCCACTGAAAATGCTTCTCCTGCTTGTAAACACTCCACTGTCAACCCTCGTCCTGATTCTACAACACTCTGTCCTGTCCAAACTGTGGAAACTCCAGGTTGTACAAGATTGCAACAACTGGCAGGTAATGTAGGCATAACGAAGGATGACGGCTCCATGAAGGACCTAAAATGTTGGCATTCATCGGTGCTACCCACAGTCGAGTAGTTATACGTGCCCTGAGGGGTAAATTCACTGCTCCCTGCTTCTTGCCAATAGTGGGTACCCAAACCCGATCCAATTTCATCTGAAGTAAGAACGGTTTAATACCAAAAAAACGAAATTAAAAACTAACAACACCGAAAAAAAAGCGCACTAAGGTTAAGGTGGTGTATTAAAACTGTAATATATTTTACTAAAATGATAACGATAACAAGTGTACCCGAATAAATGTAAGCATAAGCTTAATTTTCATCTATTTGCACCATGCTTTCGTTAATTAGCTCTGTTTTATGTCTCCAAAAAATCTTACCGAGGAGTTGCAGTATGTCCTTATTTTTATTCAGGCGACTTGCTTCTAGTATTTCGTGGATTGAAGGATTGTGAGGGTCCAAATGATCCACATTGACCGAACTCACAGCTTCAGATAATGCTTGGTTTTCAAACCAATGGTCAAGTCCTGGGCCTTTTGGAAGACTGAAAAAGAAATAAACAAGACGGCTTTTAACGAAGTGAACCTTCAAACGTTTTTAACGTCCTAAACGCTTCACCCCTAAAGAAACTACAAGTACAAATAGTTTCTTTACCACTCATCGTCTTTATTCACTTCCTGTTTGATCTGTAGGTTCATTGGCCAGTGTATGGAATTATCATTGGTCATTTCGTCGACAATTTCGGCTGACGCTTCATCTCGCATCCTGCAAATCCCCGGCTTCTTTGGCGAAGGTTTTGCATCGACTGCGTCCTGTGCCGTGTAGTTGAGGAGTGGCTGCATTGAAGAAGGCAATGCTTCCTCGTTTTCCATGAAAGAACGATAATAAAAGCCGTGAAATTAGGCTTACAAAATTTCAAAAAGGATGCTGAAGATTCTCTAAAGTTTGCAGCTCTTCCACGCGGTCTCTGACGGTTGACTGACGTTGTTCATTTCAAATCAAAATCCCCGCCTTCCGTGACGTCACGGATGGCGCGACAGCTGCCCAGTTTGGCGGGAAAGTAAAAGGTGACTGCTTGTTTACACCACAAACCAACATCGTAAACAACGGGACAAACAACAGGAATCCTTTTAAAAATAATGGCGGCAGAAAAACACGGTTTAGCGAACATTCCCGGTGAGGATCAAAAAGTTGAAGACGACTACATAGATGAACTCATTCGTAAGTACCTCTACGAAGAAGAAGTGAACAGGTAAAGGATCTCTAAAAACTTCTGCTTGGTTTCTCGCAAAATTTGACCTTGAGAGGTCACGTAGAGAAAAACACCTAGCTGACAATTTTTGGTCCGTTGTGTACAGAGAAATTAATTTTATGGCGGCTGTCTTTGGTGACTTATTTTTGACATTTTTTAAACCACACTGAAACGTTTTCTTTCAGTCTGTACGAAGATTACCATTTACCTCTGCTGGCTTCTCCTGAGGTTGACAAATGGCCAGAAGCAACGTTACCAGATTTCAGTTGCGGCCAGGATTTTTTGGTGCCAGAACTCCTTCAAATGGAAAACCTGTCTGACGATGTAGAACCGCAGGAAGAGTTGCTTTCCCTTTTGGAAGAAGTTATTACAGAGGATGAGAAGAAAAATAAAGGTAGGCAGTATTCGCCATCAAAGTGCGCGTGATCATTCTCGTTATTTTCCCGCGAACGCTGCCAGTCTTTGTACAATGGTGCGCAAAACCGAAATACGTTATTCCTAACCTGGATGAACTGGATGTTAATGAATTTCTTTAATACATCCGGCAATTTTAAGCTTACGTGCTTTCTATTATTTCAGGAATTTGTGAAACCGCCAAGGGTAAAGATTCATCTGAAGAGATCGCTGTGAAACCAGATAAAATCGTTACCAACAGTGGCCCGAAACCAATAATTGATGAAACACAGTCCAAGAAAAAAAGGCCGGTCAGTAAATTTGTACACTTCCACAAAGTAAACTTCACCTTCAATTAACCAATAGCCGAGGGACTGGTGTTGACGTCTCTAAAATCCACTTAGGGATGCATTCAATCAATAGCCTCACAATACGCCGGAGAGCAGAGGCCAGTGTTTGAGTGTTTGTCATTTTGCAGGATATGCAAATTCATTGTTTAAAAAAACACAACCAGTTTAATCAAAGAGCTCAGCCTGTCCGGCAGAAATTCATGTTATGTGCTGGCATGCATTCCAAATAAGAAATGGCATTCAACATACCGTAAAATCCCACGTTAAAGTCCCCCCCCCGGTCTTAAGCCCCCCGGATGTAAGCCCATGCATTTGCTAATAGACTGACAGTCTGATTTGCTAACAAAGATATTATTCCAGATATACCCCCCCCCACCCCTCTGGTTTTTAACCCCATCTAATGTATAAGTGTGTTCCTTTTGAGTTTCATTGCATACATCAAAATTTTTAATCTAAAGTTATAGGTATAAACAAGTGAAGTTATATAAGCCCAGGGCTCCTGCTCGGTTCCTCGAAAGATGGTTAAGTTTAATCCAGGATTAAGCCAAATTTTAATTTTTAATTTTCTTGTCTAAGAATCTGTTACCTTGGGCTTACAAAATAATGTTGTGCTTTAACTCTGAGATTCTGTGATGATAACATAGAATGTTAATCTAAGGAATGCATAGGAAGGTAAATACAAAAGTGGAAGACATTTTTTAATCCTGGATTAGCGCAAATCGGCCTTTCAGGAACTGGGGCCAGGGCTTTAAGGTAATTCCCTTGTTTTGCACTGCGCACCCTCTACTGCGCATAACATTGCCACATCCAAGATAGCGGCGGTTCTTCCCACTAGCGCGAAAAGAACAAACAAGGGCCGCTTTTGCAGAACTAAAGCTTTTATTGGCAATAATAATGCCGCAGATCGCCTGGTTAGCTATCGAAAAACAAGAAAATGAAAGAAATGTGCAAGATCCTGAAGTCTGCAGTGGTTTTCACTTCGCGGCCGTCGAGTTGTGGAATTATTAAAATGTCCTGGCTGAGGCTTTGGATTATGGGGGACTGTGAAGCCTGTGGGACAGCTCTATCGCTCTCCAACTGCATTAACGAGTCAGTATCTGGCCTGGACATATGTTGTTCAAACTTCGAGAGTGGAGAGACGAATATTTCTGGAAAAATAAGACCCACCGTAGAACCAGAACCACGCGAGGGAGACAAGTCNGAGATTCTGTGATGATAACATAGAATGTTAATCTAAGGAATGCATAGGAAGGTAAATACAAAAGTGGAAGACATTTTTTAATCCTGGATTAGCGCAAATCGGCCTTTCAGGAACTGGGGCCAGGGCTTTAAAGTGGGATTTTAGGGTACATTTAAAGCTAAAATTGATAATTGTGTTTTCCATACTAGTCTCAGTAATCCATACTCAGTGTTTTCCATACCAGTCTCATACTATGCCTAGTATGCCAGTCATGTTACACCAGGTTTTGTAAGAGAGAGAGATTAAGTGTCAGTTGTTTGAGCTTCAGTCTCTATGGTGACAGTATCATTAGACAAGAAACTTTTCTGATGCATCACGGTTCCTCTCCACCCAACTATATCACTGGGTACTGTTAAACAATGCTGGGGTAGCTGATGGACCAGCTTCCCAGAAACTTCATGTTACCCTTGGTATTAAGGAGTCTCTACTATTGTGGGTAACCCGTGGCTCCTGAGCAAATTTCACCTGATTTTGTTTTTCTTTCAGACTTGAAAATGAGGAAGGGATGGGGGGAATTTTAATATTTGAGACAGGAAATGGGCAAGGGAAGTCTAAAATTTCACTTTTTTGGTATAAGAATAGACCTCTTTCGCATCTATGTTTTGTTTTCCCAATGTGAGGTATGTGGTAGTACTCTAGAGAACTGTTTCTTTCAAATTTCACCATATTTAAATATATACATATTGTGGTTCACTTTTATCCTTGGTTTAAATATTATTTTCTTTTGTTTCAAACTGAGACCGTCACGGGGTAAACAAAACATACATACACCTTTATTGGGAAAACAAAACATACAAGCTAAAGAGGTGTATAGGAATTGAGAAGGCAGCCCACTCCATTTAGGTGTTTATCAATGTATTTGTCAAACTTTACAGAGGAAAACTCCAGTGGACAAGAAATCTAAACGCCCCTGCAGATCACAGCCAATAATCATGAAAAGAAGAGCCAAACATCGGTTCATTGAGGAGTAATAAGCCTGTCTGTGAACATTTTCCAGAACAGTTTGAGAAATGAGTGTCAACAATCTTCAAGACAATGCCTCAATAAAAAAGATACATCTCTCTCAACCTCGTTCCCAAGGTTCTCTGCTACCAATCCCTGTGGAGGGATAGAGGGACAGATAGGAGAGCCCTGGGAACGAGGTTGCATCTCTCTGCCATAGCTTTCAATCACATTTTTGCATTCAGAGATGGTGATATAATTTTTTAATTATTTATTGTAAGCATAATGTAAAGTATGGTGTTTTCAAAACAGTATCTGGATATGACAGTTATTAGCTACTCTTAATGTAATCCAACTATATCAAGATTTTTTCATTGTTGGACTTAAATCATACTAATTAATTAGCTTTTAGTGGTTCAAAATAAACAGGCTATTTTTCTAATGACTCTGTAGTCATCATTAGGCAATTTTTTGTCATTACTTCTATCAATGTTATTCAAAGAATCTCTCCCCATCTCTCCTGAAAGAAAGAAAAAAATTGTTGAATAATAGAAGAGCAACTTTTTGCAGCACCAATGTAAGGTGACTGAAATTATGATAACACCAAATTTTAATGTCTTTTCATAAGCAGCAGCGTCCTGAAGAACCCCAATCACCCTGCTCTCTCCACTGTCTAAAAGTACATTGGAGCAGAAGCAAAATTATGATATTAATTTTTAACTGGGCTGCCTCAAGGCACGCCCAGTTCATAAAATGGGTTTTTCCTCCACAGAAAAATGAACACTTTCAATTTATTATTAACCCAGTAACCCAGAGGGTGTTGCTTGACCATAAGCAAAATTGTTTGTCCATCTCTGCAGAGTCTGCTTAAAGATTGATTTCTTTTTCAACTTTTTTGTTTAATGCAACACATACCTTTTTGAGGTCTAAATTTCAGATAATAGGATAAAGAAGACTCGTCCGACAAAAACAGGAACTTTGAGAATTTTCACACACAAGTTCATCTCATAGCCTCATTGCCGAGAGGGCAAATAAGCAGCAAGCTTTGAGAACGCAAACGTCATCGGGAGCTTCAAATACCAACTTGAGAGTAATAGAGTACTAAGGTAAGTTACTTACTAGTACAAGGTTTAGTGACTTAGCATCCTGGAGCTTACAGTTGTTCTCAAAGTGACCTGCAGTTTTTGCTTTTGTTTGTATCTCTATCATTTAATTTGTGCATGATCAAGTGTTATGCTTCTCCTAATTTCTGTGTCTCCACCTATTCAACAAGCACAATAAATTGATGTTAGCATTAGTGAATTAATTTCGATAAACTTTGAAAGTTCACAGCTCGCTTAAAACAAGCATACCTTTATTGAGGGGTAAACTAAAAGCCATTGAAAATGGAAATATTAAAAAAACTATACGTTTAATTGATTTAACTCACACATGACACTGATATGTGCCTAACCCGTATTTTACTTAAAGTGTTCTGAATACATACACTGAAAATATGAGGAGGTAGTTTAGCCCCAGGGGAGTGTGGCCAGGCAAGGTCAAAAATACAAACAAACTAATTCCTTTTTTAAAGAAAAGAAATTTGAAATGTGTAAATATTTCACTCAACCTAAGCAATAATATTACATAATAATAATCATAATTATTATGAAAGTCTTGCAAAAGGGTACAATGAGTTTGTGTTTCACTCTCACATGAGATTCTATGTTATGCAGTTGTTGGCAACAAGGTTTCATGGCAGCCCAGTTAAAGTTGCCTTTCGGCAAGTCTAGTTTTTAGAGAGTTGTCAAGGCAAGAAGAAGATAACAGAGGACTGAAGGGTGAAAGTCCAACTCAATGAATGAATCAGTTTTAAGTTTCAACAATTTGAAACAAAATTCAAACACAACATACAAAAACAGTTTAAGAAACAAGTTTTCTTTTTTACATGGGTTTGATATAATTTTGTTTAACACAGTGACTATTCCAAATCAGATAGTTTCCATATTTTTTTATTTATATATTGAGTTTTATATAATACCCCATTTTTTGGGGGTTACATTATATATTGTTTTTGACAAAATGAGGTTACATACATATTTTTGACAAAATGTTCATTTCTTTAAATAAATCTCTGAAGTTTGAAAACCAGTTTGTTCATTAACTTACTAATGCCTTCAAGTAAAAGGCAAAAACTTGCAACACAACAGTATTACAACAGACAGTTCTGCTCTCTTTCTCCTCCATTTGTGTTATTGTCCACTACATAGACCACTTGAAGTCCAAAATAAAAAAAATCTCAAGCCACCTGCTGGTTTCAACAAAGATTGACGTAACATCTCACCAAAACAACATAGTGTTATTTTTAGCTGTTAAGCCTGGTGCTCATATGCTGCCAAGCTACCTGCGAGGTTGCCGCCAGTACTGCCTGCGATACCATTATCTGATATGAGAACTGGAGTCGCCAGCAACAGAGGCCATGTCAGTCCTTACTTTAACTTCGCAGGCAGTCAAACTAGACACACTAAAGTGAATAATGTTCCTAAGGATCTCAGGCTGACAATGCGTCTTTGTCGTCTGTAGTACATCTTCCATGAAAGAGGAACTCGTGCCTGAGAGATCAAGTATACTCCAGTACAACCCAATAAAAAGAATAATACCGTACTAAATGATAACCTCCTTGTATCCTGAAGAGAGACAGAAATAACAGTTTGGTTCAGTCTGAGGTTGGAGTATTAGTATTATTAAGGGAGATGAAAGGAGTGTATGGAGTATGAGGGTTTTCCTACCCCTCCTCAGTTTTATATAAAAAAAAACAAGGGGAGGATAGAGGGCATTTTCACTGATGTGGCTAGCATCTATGCAAATTTACTGGAACAAACAAAAGCATTTACATAACAAAAGAGTTCAACTCCCATAAGATTGGTTTGCAACACCAACATGCTCGCTGTTTCATTGTTTTGGAACACCAATATGGCTGTCATGACGTCATGTGAAAAGGCTCTATGAGGTTAGAAGCGGAAGTTTGCCTCAGAAACAAAGCTTGTAAATGAGATGAAGATAGGGTTTTGGAAGTAAGAAGGGGATGTAGAGGCATCTAATGCCCCTCCCCCCTCCCCCCCATTCCCCTGAATCTGTTACTGCACTTGTGAAAAAGTTAACACATTATAAATTATGAAAGTGATTTAATCAAAAGGAGGTCTTAAAATCATTTCAAGATTTTAAAGTATACTTTACCTCAATTTTTGCTAGTTGTTCTGCTGTTTTGTATAGTTGCATTTCTTTCCAGTAATGTAAATAATTAAAGAGAGTTGAATACAATGGATGGACAGCTTCTAATTTGGCCTGCAAGTCAATGAAGATAGGTGTCATTAAAATTCTTCGAGTTTTCCAGGGAAAAAAATGAAAATTTTAGGACATGCAACTTGAATACCATTTTCATCGCTAATAAAATCTTGGGACTTATCATTCAAATGGAAAAAGAAAAAATGCAATAGCATTCATTCCCTAGCCACATAAACAATATTATAATGAAAAATTTTAGAAATCATTAATAACATTATTATATTTTGTCACACATCTTAGCACATTCACAACAACTTTCCATAAACGCCTAAGTGGATCCACATGGGTTGTACTACTTGCGACCTAACCAATATTAAACATTCGAAAATAGTAAATGCCCAGCAAAAAAAGGGGGGAGGGTGTGGGGAAGGGGGGTGGGAGAAAAGTAAAAGAAGGAAGAGGGAGAGAAAATGAACGGTAAATGTCATGGGGCAGTGTGTGGGCTCCGTGTTATAATCATAAGCTAATCATAAATGGATGCTTGTACTCAAATAACCTGAGATCAACCTGAGATCTTCCCTTATAAAGAAAAAATGCCTGATGGCAGGTAAGCACTCAAAAAAACAGTTTGAGGAGAGAAAACACTATTGACCAGTCCAGAAGTTCAGTCTGCAGTGACATCAAAGGCTAGACGTGATCCAGGTAGAGCCTCCTTTTATCCCTCTCAAGTAAAGGGGGGGGGGAGAAGAGGATCTGCTAGCAGGGACCAGTGGGTTAAAAATAGTTGTTTCTTACCTCCAAGTTAGCACTCTGAGGATTGTAGGTACTAAAGCAGTCTTTTCCTATAATCTCTGATGGCTTCTGCTCATTTTCCCACAGAAATATTTTGTATGTAAATGAAATCTAACAAAAAAGACCAACATTTATGAAAGCATGCCCTGCTCTTCGAGAGGATGTAAGTTCAACAGGCTAGCAGATAAATATGCTGCTATTTTGGGCCACCATGACCACAGAAATATCAAACTATGAAATGATCACGGCCATCATATAAATAAATTAATTTTTGCATATGTAGTTTCTAGAGGTCAAATCTGTTATCATGATGATTAATAGATACTTAATAGTACTGTGATATTAAATACCTTTTTCTCTAAAGCCACATAGGCAAAGATACTCCTGCCACCATCAGTAATTTTAGAAGGAACAAGAGTATATCTTGATGTCATAGAGGATGAAATTAAGGATGCCAAGTAATATACATTGCTGCTTTCAGAACCTTTAGCACTTGTTCCTGCATATCAAAACTTCATGTTAGTTGGGTACACTACAATCCCTTACAAAAGTATTTATTTGGAAAAGTTGTACAGCTTAAAAGCACAATCGCTTCTTTTAATATGATGCAGTTAAATATTTTTATGTTTAAAAAAGATGGTTTTCCCTTTTACTAACCCTCTTACATCGCCCCTCTCCCCCGGTCCCCCAATGCAATGTTTTATACAACACTGGGCCAGGAGGTGGGTCAAAAAAGAAGAAAAAAAAGAGGTAAAGGAAAGAGGAAAAGTAGTAGGCTTTCCAGCACTTTAGACTATGATTGCAGAATGGTTTCTAATGATATTACAAAATAATATAAGCTGAATATCATTACAGCTGGTATAATTCAGTCTATACAATGACAGGTATGTTAACACAGCTGTAATAAGAAAAAACTATAATATCATTTCCAGTTTAATAAGCCCTTAAACAGGGAAACAGTTGTGTTAAAAAAAAAAACAGAAGGACTAAACTTTTCTAACTAAAAGACACTATAAAACTATAGAATGAACTTTCATGACTTTAAGGCATAATAAAACCCACTAAGAAAGTTCAATCTATACGATTTTGTATAATAACTTATGAAAATAGTTTAAACATTAAAATGAATTTCATGTAAGTTGTGAAGTATACCATTTGGAAAAAGTATTTTCCTTTGTCCTGAATGAAATGAAATAAAGGCATCAAAATGATTTCTAGAAGTTAAATCCCTTATAACTTTACATTCTGGTTCTGAAACGGAAAGGAAAAACTTATTAAAATTAACATTAACAATAGTAAGGAAGAACAATGAACTTAATTTAAGGTAAATGTACATGAAGGAGTAGATTTATTGAACACCAATATTTTGTAGACTCAGTGCCGGATTAAGGCTTAGCAATGAACTGAGGCTGTTGCATAACCCCTCCCCCTTCCCAATTTGTGGCTCAGGCTTCGGTTGTCCAAACATTGGATAGCGCTATCCACCGGATAAATCGCCATACAGTGGATAAGTATTAGAGAAATCTATTGCGTTATCCACTGGATAGAGATTCATCCAGTGGATAGCGTTATCCACCTTTCGAACAACTGGGCCCAGATCTTTGCATTTACATCCTTTTGATGATCTCAACACAAAAGCTTAACCCAATGTTTCCCAATTCCCTGGATCCCCCTGCATAAGTGACACTTGGTATGATTAGGGATGATGATGATGATGGTGTTGATGATGATGATGATGACAATAAAAATCAAATCTCCACGAGTGACCACATCCCATAAGGGACAACCTATCCTAAACACTAAAATTTGCCAATCAAATGCCTATACAGTGTAGTTGGAACCTGTCAAAAGCAACCGTGACAACTTTCTGCAACAATTCTCTTCTAATAAGTACATTAATTGTCCAGACCTATTGCAAGAGGAGATCCAATGTGGTTTAACTCTCACAAGAAACTACTGGTATCCTCTAAAATCTAAGCATTTTGGTTGATCATTTATGGGAGATCCAATAATTATTATTGCATTGTAATAATCTATTGTCACTGCTGTCATCAATACTAATTTAAGAGAGAAAACACTACACCTAACTAAACTTAATTTTGCACTCCAGTCATTTATGTCCAGTCACTGAAAAACTGTATAAAACTCTGTTACATAATGACTTATGTAAAGTATAGATTAATTAACACCAGAAAAAAAAATAGACAAAACAGAAAAATACAATAAAGGATTGATTTATCCTGAATTTCAGACAATTAATTCTGAGAAAAGAAAATCTATAATTTATTATTGATTGACACTGCTTAGTCAAGATGGTGGTATCTTGTCCGTGGCCCTTTTTTATCATGCCTTATCTGCTTCAAAGGAAAGAAAAAGAGCAAACACAGAAACTTGATAACATTACCACTGACCCAACCACAGTTTTGGTCATGATGATAAAATAAAATATGCATAAATTATGCTGCATGAAAATTGAAATGTTTTATTTTTATTTTTTTTAAAAAATCATGGCATCAACTTGGATTTCACTGATATTCACATTAATTTTTTAAAAAAGGTCCTGTTGTGTTTGTAACAGTCCAGACAAACAATGTTTGGTTCAGTTCTAATCCACTGATTTAAAGGATTTCAATAATAAATATTTTAGAGCATAAATAGATCAATAAATAACTTGGCACTATTAAAAATGTCTGAAAAAAAAAAAAACTTCTGACTTGGCTTTTAAAGAACGGCATCGATGTTCTTCTCCCAACCATAACCACCATTATGAACTTGCCTTTTGAGAAAGGTTTTTTTCCTTCTGATTTCAAGAAGTCAATTGTCCATCCTCTTATCAAGAAAGAAACCCTTGACTCCAAAGAGCTTAGTAACTACAGGCCTATTTTCAATCTTTCATTCCTGTCAAACACACTTGAAAGAATTGTCGCCTCATAAATTGATGAATATCTCCATGACAACAGTTTTTGTACCAAGATGCAATCAGCCTACAAGAAGTATCACAGCACCGAGACTGCACTGATTTGTCTTGTTAACGACATACAGCGTGCTATTGATGATCAGTTGAATAGTTTTTTTTTCTTTCATTGAATAGTTTTTTTGCCATAAAAGGTGCATTATAATATGTAGCCATAGCAACAGTGACCTTTTCAAGTGTGAAGACAACATGTTATTTTCACATGTGAAGATATCACATTTTCTTTTGAAAGCAGACTTGCTATTTAGTTGATAGTTATATAATAATATTATTATTAACAATTATCATTGGACAAGGTTGAGTTGTCAGTGGCAAGCAGGCAAATAATTATTGATCTGCGAGACACTGACAATAAACAAATATTGGATGAGGTTTTTGTAATATCCGGAATAATCAAGGTTTAGGTAAGTAATATCAGCTGAGCCGAAGGCTGAGGCTGAAACACTTACCAAGAACTTTATTATTCCGGATATCACAAAAAGCGAATCTAATAATAGTTTTATTATACATTGTATTGATAAATAGGGAGAAACATAGCATGGCATGAAAAACAGTTTGACATTACTCTTGGAAATCATGCATTGCCCACGCAACGTACAGATTAGTCAGTTATCTGCTAGAAGATAACTAACTGTAGGTTGCACTGATTACCAATATTAACTGTAGATTCTTAGCCAATGAGAAAACAGATAGTGAGTACAATGTATAATAAATCACACTATTTTGCGATAACCGAGTTCAATAACAAATTGTTTTATCATTCCGTCACCGAGATTGTTTTTTGATCAATATCGGCCATTTTGCCATCTTTATGTAAAAGCGATCACAAGAAGGAGAAAAGAGTGGTTTCGTTTATGCATGAGCAGAATAATATTCGCAGCCAAACACAGTTGTACAAAATTGAGCATAAGCAGTCCATTATTTGTGGACAGTTATTTAAAGGTCAGGTGGTGGGCTTCTCCACCAATGAAAAGGAAGTAAAATTTTCATTGAATAATAATTAAACTATCTTAAACTAACAATTTTACAACACACCTGCTATAGTTCTCATTGTATTTCCATTTCCAACTCCGTTTTTTAAATCAGAATTAAGATCAACGTCATTGGCGGTACCCATCCAGCAATAATTTCTAGTAGTTTCAACTACCATTCTTCCATCTGGGTTCACAATAGTCAAGAGATACAAATCAAAATTGTTCAGTACGAATCTTGTGAAATTTCCTTCTCGTGTTCCAGGGTGCATATCGTATCCCTGTGTTATATTCCTAAGGAAATAAAACATACTTTCTACTGGGAAAAACTCAGCCGCATGTTCCCCATAAGACAATAGAACCTTTGATCGTTTGTCTGTTTTTTTGTCTACTGTATCAAGTGTGAAGTTCGTGATGTGAAGAACGTATTGAGATAGTCCATAACGAGAACGGTACCGCATTTCCACGTCCACAAATTCCGAATACTGCGTAGAAATATGACGAAGACATTCGTTCATCTTTGAAAGATTGTGATAAAAGTCGTAGTTTGGAGCATAGGAGGTCTGCAGTGACGATTCGAAAAACATCCCCGTGGAAACGTGCATGACTACGAAAAATGTAGCGGTGACAAACAAGTTAAAGGGATCAAACACATTCATTTCTTGACGATAATCGCAAGTCAGCTTTGTGATTTCCCATCTAAGGACGTGTCTAGTAAACCACTAGCCTAGTTTCACTGCGTTGGCGCGCACTTACAAACCAGGCGCAAGGCGCCATATCGGTTCATGCTAGTCTTCGATTGGTAGGTACTTCATATATGATTCCTATAGTGTACCGATATGTAGATTCATTTCGTGCAGTCTTTTATTGCAGGCTGTTGATATGACGGCTATCGGTTCGCAGGCGTTTTTTGGTTTTGTTATGCCTTACATTTTATAGCTGATTAGATACTCTATAAAATATTCTTCTATTTTGTCACGCCAGGGGTCCTGAGTATGATACTTGTCTCTTTTTTAGAATTTGCCTTAGGTGTCTCATAGCCACGATAAACGAGTTGAATTTTGCCTGGCGTTGGCCAGATAAAGGGCCCATCCACTGGTTTTCTTTAATAACAGAAAACGTATTCAAAAATCGCCCGGACGAAGTGGCCGTACTAGCGTGTTGACGGTATGGCAAGGTCCGCAATAAGAAGACCAAAAAACAGAAAGAAAATAGGGGAAAGCATTCTTTAACGCAATTGAAATAACTACATGTATAGCTCTTATCTGGCTTTCTGTTTAATTAGTATGTTATCTTCAAGTGACTCAGTTGATAAAGCTTAGGCCGCGCCCTAATTCGTCTCCTCCATTGGGGCCAGAAAAGGGTCACGGACTACTCACTACCCTCAAAACGGTATGAAGGGAAAAGAAAGTGATGCAGATTTTAAGTGCAATCAACCAAATAGCACTCCTCACGAGTATAGCAGTATCCTAATCGATTAAGGTGATTCCCTGGTTTTGCACTGCGCATCTCTTACCGCGCATAACAAGATGGCCTCCGTAAAAAAGAGCATGTGAAGTAATGACCGAAGAGAAACGCTATTGCAATTTTTGCTTTCGGTTGTTTCTTGCCGAGGTGAGACTCAATGGGGTGGGAATGTGCATAACGTAAGCAGTACGCGTGTTGCTGAGTTCCTCACGGAGAACCTCGATAGTGGATGTTTAATTTGTGCTTATTCACTCTGATTTTCATTTAAACACTTTCTTTATCACATTGTGTCCTAAATGTGATATCTCGATGTAAATTCTGAAAAAACGGATTTTTTAATACTTTCTTCCCCGTTTCGCATACATTCTGTTTTGAAACTCGCCCCAGTCGTCGCTCAAAAAATCAAGGAAAATGCATTTGGTGCGCACTTTCTGCAGCTCTACTGCAAAAACGAGTACGGCGACCCCCATTTTTTATTTCATGATTTTAATAAGGGCAGTGCTTCCTTTCGGTGAGAAAAAAATTGGCACAAATCTATGTTCAGTTTTTTGGCAGTTTTACTAAATTGTACGGATTGAGATATCACGTGTCCAATAGCGCCTGTCCAATTTAATTCTACTTTTGAGCGTAAAGTAAAAACAAGGGCATTAAAAGGCATTTTTCTGGTACGTAAGTGGACAAACAATACATTAGGTCAAATTCTGTGCGATACCACATGCATCATTGAAAAAATCTTTCCTTTTTGTCTAGTTTTGCGCTGCGCGCGGTTTTTGTCAAAGTGTCCAAAATAGCCTATTTGTCAGTATTGTGACGTCAAAACGAGCACGGTGCCCCCCACTTTTTATTACCTTTTTATCATCTTCTTGACTTGTTACATCAGTGTACCAAGTTTCATCTACAATCTATGTTAGGTTCTTTTACTGGGGAATCACCTTAGAACAAGTTAGACTAAAATTTGGGGAGTTATCTTAAGCTAGCTTAGTCTAAAATCTTGCGCAGGTCATTATAAAAAAATTTCAGAAGATTTAGCTTTATCTGGCCATCTCAATGCACAAAAATGTTAATAATATGAAAAACATATAATGTATCATTTATGTCGGCTTCGCACATAATTTTATCGATCGATTTATCCGCCTTGCAAAAATACTATTTAAGAACCTAAAACCCTAGTTACCTACTTATTCAGTATATACGAAGACATCGTCGTTTATTACGAATGATGTAACCACGACATTTAGGTAGAAAAAGACAGAGAACAGCCTTAATCTCTAAATTAATGGGTATTAGGGTTTTATATTAATTTATATACAAAACGGTTATTAACAGGTCCTTTTTTGAAAGAGATGATCAATGAGGTAGTAAAAATTCGAAAAGGGTAGATAGAGGGAGTAAAGGAGGGATCTGCTCCACTGTTTCTGTCCACAAGCGAAAAACAAAACCCACTCCTGCAAAACTGACTTTAATTTGCAGCCAGCCATATCAGTAAGCTCTTGTCATTCAAGAAATTTATTATCTAAAGATCAGTACTGGAATAATTCTGTTCAAGACTGCCTTGTAAAAGGATTTTAAAACCTCTCTGCTAGATATAAATAAACCATTGAATCGATTAATAATAAATATGAACATACACGCCAGCATGCATTTTTCAATAAAGGGGCTTACAAATTTCAGCTACATGAATTAACAATGTGGCAAAAGGCATTGAAACTTAGAACTATGGCCTAAGCACCATGCCCCCCATTTACAGCTGCTAAAATCAAATTCATATATACCGTGAACACGGATAAATATTTTATCGTCATAAATGAAAAATTGGGGTTATTTAAATTAGATCTCATTTTTCTGGTGTTCAATTTTGAACATCACGGTTCCAAACTTTACTTCCTGTTCTCAAGCATAGTCTTTTGTTACTACTTTTCTGGAGGACATTCTTCAAATCTGCAAGCGAAAAATATGAACATTAGCAAAATTTAGGAAAAGGAGTTGAGTAGGGATAAAGTCCCGCTAATTTAAACTCTGGTATATTTATTTGTATACCTTGCATATTAAAGCTCGTATTAAAATTCTCATCTTCCGAAGAAGACTGCGAGGAACAGCTACAGTAGTCAGAAGTCATCATGGGCGAATCCTCCTCACTTGGAGGGTCATCACATTTGGAACACTGAAAAGGTGCAGTTCCAGGGCCTCTTGGACTTGTGCATAAGCTGTTTGTGTCTCTCATATAGTCTCTCCATGCTCCACCATGGTGACCCCGTCTTGTACGCTGCCAGACTGGATGGTCTGATACAATAGACATGATCTGAAAAGAAAAAATCCCTCCTCGATTTATTGCGGAATTAAAATGTACCATTGTTCTCCATCTAGGAATTGTTATCATTATTCATTCAAAATATTTCTCCGATTCTGATTGGCTAAAAGCACCCGCATAATTCACCATAACCAGCTACTGAGAACCAAATTTGGAAGAATTTTGCGATTAATCAACCGACGCAGGAGCCAATTCGGCTCCTGACCGATGACGTCAAAAGTGCAGCTTCCTTGCAGATTAATACATCGTTAACTGAGAAGACCTGGTGACGAGTTTGAGTTGTTTTGTTTGCGAAAACAAAAATGGCGGACATTTCACTCGTTTCAAAGAGTAAGAACTAGGCGAAATAACGACTAAAAACATGGTAAGAACAGCAAGAAGTACAACTCGAAGGGCGACATCGATCTGCTATTTGGAGAATATTTGTGGAGCTGAACAACCCTAAACGTGCACTATCGAAGATGAATTTAACATCGATAGAGGTAAGCATGTTTTAGCTATGATATAAAACTAGGAATTATTTTGAATGAATAATAAAACAATTATTGAATTCGGCTTTCGACGGATAACACCCTCCTCGATCTCCATAATTCTTCATAAGATACTCAGCCTCATTCATTTATTGTTTATTAGTAAGCTTATAGCGCTTTTGTTAAAATAAGTTTGGATGAAGGTCAGTGAATGATTTAACCTGGACAAAAAAAGTGAGTGTTAATGTAGTATATTACCAGAAACTTATGGGTTTCTGATGTTACCTCATCACAGGTCAGTTTGCTAACAACAGCACGGTAGCCGATCCGTTTCCAAAACACGTCTCTTTTTCGAAGGAAATTGGGATAGAGTTCTCGCCAGTTTTTCCCCAAGGCCCAAGGAAAGATGTCGTATTTTTCTTCTTCGTCGTCCTCTTCCATATCGTTTGCAAGGTACCTGGAAAGTGAAGCAGTTGTTAAGAAAACATTTCTCAATTCCTTGACCTTTGAACACTACATTTTGTGCTTACAGAGCTATGAAAAAATTCATTCTATTGTATTCACGCCTTCCTAGTTCTGCCCTCCTGAAGTATGCATAAACCATGGCCAGCAGATACTGCAGGAAAAAAAGAAATATTTAAAGCTTAATAACATCATTATCATTATTGCTCTTCGCGCCAGGAGGCGCATTGAAGCGGTGTTTTAACATCTACCTTGTCTGATATAATTGCACAACTGTCCATCCATAGAAAATCTTGAATGACATCATCATCTGCATTATTGACGAAAAAAAAATTCAGTGCTGACATGGATACTATCCATGGTGCTAACTTTTTAGTTCTTATATACAAAAAAATAGTTTCGGCAATCGGGCTTGTGTCAATTAACAGGACGTTACTAGCATGAGGCAAAAATGACCTTCATCTTGACCTAGCTTGACGGGATTTAAACTTACCAAGTAGCCTGAAAAAGGCTGCCATAAAAGAATTTCGCCCGCAGTAGACCGTGTACAGCTGATTAACTTTTAGTTTTTTGCACGTAATTTGTCTTTCGTTTGCTAGATTATCGCATTCACCGTAACTGCGTCTCCTTTTCAATATCATAGTCTCTGGCTTTGTACTTGTTATCTTCTCGGTTCGTGGACACTTGTCTTTCGCCATTTTCGAACTGGCGTCATTTTGCGAGCTACTTCTTGGTCTGCTTTTTAGGGAAACTTGGTTACCCATTCGTGTTTGAACGACCCTTTCGGCCCCTTTGTTGATTTGTTGCGACTCTTTCTCGAAGCAAAAGAGCCGGTTTGTTCGCATATTTAGTATGAGGAGGGAGAAATTAAACTGCGCCCAAGCAGCGCAAAATACAAAAAAAATAAATTGCAGCAGAGCGCTGAATAATTTCGCGCCCTTTCTTGCATGTGTTCCCGCGCCTTCCCGCGCGCCGTCAATCAAGGGAGGGGAGGGAGACGCTTTGTCGTGCGCCCGCGATTTCGTTGTATTTCAGCTAAAATGGCTGATGATAGCTTAGATGAGAGTGGTAAAACATTAGAGCCAAAATACTTAACAAAACAGACTTTGTTTCCCGTAATCGGAGCTAGTAAGAGTAAGGGGTCTGGTAACCTTCTTTTCCCATGTTCTTCTTTTAAAGTTGATGAACGCGCGGCAGGTATTGGTAAAGGTAAGGGGAAAGTTTTCCGCGTTATCACGACTTTTTTTTATTCCCCACATTAGACAAAGAACCTTATTTCAAAGTCCATAAAACCGATTAGTTAGTGAATTATCGGTTTATCGTGCACTCCTTTAAACTTAGTTAGTCCGTTAAAGTTATACAAGTGAAGAATTATTGTATTAACCACATATGTTACTGGTCATTTGGTCTGGAAACCCTGATGGCTATCCCTTAAGTGTGTTTATAGTGAGAATATAATTAGATTGAAGACTACTTATACACTAGAGGTGTTTTCTTTGTTATATTCGTTGGGGTTTTGTATGTCTCGAGGAATCTCTCTTGAATATTCTTTTTTTACAATGATTTTTAATGGTGCTTATTTTATTTTCCTATCTTTTTTCAAAGGAGACAATCAACCAAGCTGGCTTAGAAATGAAAGCTACAAGGATGTTTCATTTAATAAAAGTGATCAAGGTGATACTAACATCAAGGATCAGAGACAGCTCCCATATGAATTTTCAGAAGACACTGATCACCAGTTTCTGGGACCAGAGAAGCGTACTTACTCTGAAATCCCCAGTTCAGAAGATGAAGAAAGAGAACATTATGGGAAAGAACATGATAGGAAGGAGAGTTCAAGGAGACACCATCATGATAAAAGGAAACACAAGCATAAAAAGAAACACAAGCAAAAGCATGATAAATCGGAGAAGAAGGCTCGGATCAGTGATGATAGTGATAAGCCTGATACAATTTGGAGAGAAGAAGCTCAGCTCAACCCTGAGAAAGCTTACAGACTGAGTAAAAAACCTGATTTAGCAAATCGTATGTATGACTCTTTATACCGACTGGATGTTGCGTTGTATAAGATGAAGTCAAATTTAACTTGTCTTGGCATCAGCAAACATCAAGTTATTGAACTGTCTGAAAAGCGAGGGAAGAAAAGCAAAAAGACCAGAGATATCATTTCCAGATATTGGAACATAAAAGATGATAAGCTAGATGAAGTTGAGGAGGGAATTCCTACTACAATGCCTTGTGTGTTAAAAAGCAAAGAACTGGATGTTTCTTTTAGTAATAGCAGTGGTTATATTTCCCTTGAGTTACGTGAGGCATCTGAGAAAGTAAGAAATGATCACTCTGTAGATGCAGTGAAAGAATCAAAATATACTGATGCTGATTGTCAAGACTTTGAATTGCTCGAAAAAACTGCTGAGCTCAACAAAATTTTACGTGAAAATCCCCATGACATTCAAGCATGGCTTGATCTTGTTAATTTCCAAGAAGAGGTTGTCTGGAAGGAAGATTCTGTTAAATCAAGCTTTACAGCAACTGGGCGTGAAAAGAGAAAAGCTGCTACAAGAACTATCATAGAGAAGAAAATTGCAGTCTTTGAAAAAGCACTTCAACAAAATCCATCCTCTGTAGAACTGATAATGGGCCACTAGGACCTCTGCAGTGAGATCATGGAAGGTGAAGAACTGGTGCAGAAATGGAAGAAAGTGAGCTTTGTGCATCCAAATAACATTACATTATGGTATCACTATTTGCGCTTTGTGCAATCAAGATTTTCTGTGTTTTCATTTAGTAACACATCTGCAGTATATGGTAAATGTTTGAGCACTCTATCAGCAATCAAAGAAGGGACTTTTACCTCTCATGAAGCTGATGAGGATATAGAGAGTGGAATACTGGACTTGTTCATTCAGCAGTGTCAGTTTGCGAGGCAGTCAGGTAATGTATGATCATTAAGACTGTTTAAACAGGACTACCAAAAGATACTGTCTGATAGCTTTTTCCTCAAATTGTCTTTCTTTAATAGACCCATCTAGCTGTAATCCGTAAAAGTAAAGAAAATAATATTTCATGGGTGGCAAACCCTTATACAACTTCAATAGAAGAATATGATCATAAATCGTGTTAAATTACTTGGCTGAAGGAGGAAACAAAATTTTTCTTTGAGTGTTGAAAAATGGTAATGTTCTATTTATCATGTATCAAACACCAATGAAATAACAAATCATTTCACTTAAATAGTTTTTTTGTTGCAAAAGGTGCAATTTGTTATGTAACCATAGCATTTGTGATCTTTTCACATGTGAAGTTATGTTATTCTAATGTGTGAAGATATCATGCTGTCATGCAAAAGCTCACCTACTATTTCCTTGGTGTTTATGGGGTTGTCATTAAGAGCCGGGGGCCGGGGATTTTCCCCGGCTACTAAGAGAGTGGCCCCCAGCTACTTTTATTGGAAAATAGAAGAAAAATAGAACCAAACGAAATCCCTAGCCCTTTGATTCCCCACCTACTTGTTGTATTTACCCGGCAACTTGAAATCTTAGTGACAACCCTGTGTTTATATAAATATTCCTACTATTGTATTGTCCAGTAAGTTGTCAGTCTTTTACAGCACTGACTGGACTGGGTAGCCTTTTAATAGCTGACATATAGGGCATTTCTTTCAGAAGATAAAACTTAATCTAACATGGCTAGGTTGATGACTGTTTTACAACATCAAATTAACTCGATCGGTGGTTTGTGCTGTCCATTCCTAAAATTAATCACTCGGAAAAAGCTGTTGCATCACCACTGCATTTGGTTTGTCAGATTGACATATTGATTTTGTGTCTTGTTTTTAGGTCACACAGAAAAGGCCATTGCACTGCTACAGGCCTTGGTTGAGCTAAACTGTTTTTGCTCTGCTGATCTGGAGAAGAACACCCCTGTTGGCGGACAGATAGCTTTTCTGGAGGCATTCTGGCATAGTGGACAACCAAGGTAAAGAAATTAAACAATCCATGAACCTCACAAGGTTGTACAGACGTCTTCTCAGCTTAGAAAGATGAAAGTTGAATTCTTGTGTTACCAGTATATGCAGCCTTGAAATCTAACATAAGCTTCCTTATGTTAATTAAGGTTTGGTGAGAATGGTGCAGTCGGATGGAAGACATGGATGGCTAAAGAAAGGGAAAGTATATCACGTGAGACCCTTATTGATATCAGAGCAATTTTCAAGTCATTTTCCTCAAGAAAAACAGGCAATAGTGATTCTCTTGATGAGGTGGAGGAGGAGATGGCCATTGCAAGAGATCAACCTCTTTGGAAGAATTGGTTGCAAGTTGAATCGTCCCGTGACAGAGGACAGCTTTTTCCATGGCAACCAGACAGAGAAATGGCACAAACAGAAGAGGATTGTGATGATCCTGAAAGGCTGGTACTATTCGATGACATCAGTTCAAGTCTGTTCAAATTGGCAGATCCTATGAGCAAGCTCAAGCTGGTCTTGTCATTCTTACAGTTTTTTGGAGTTCAAGTACCTTGTCTTAGCTCATCAACAAACAAAGATGTGCAGCAATTTCTTAATACATCACTAGAGCATGAATTGCAACTTCTCGGACCTAGCATTCCCAGGGGATCTCAGTTTCTTGGTCTGTGGCAGTCATACTATTGGAATGATGATGTCCTCTGTAATGAGGCAAATCAACAGTGGCCCACACAAGAGGCATTGAGGTTTGTAAGGAATATCTTTGTGCAGAGCCTGCCTGTGTTTGGTGGCAGAGAAAGAAGCTTTCTGATGGTTATATGGCTGTGGTATGAGTTTCAGCTAACAAAGAATGGACAACCAGCAAAGGAAAGTAAACGGATGTACAAAGATGTGCGGAAACTGGCCAAGAATCTTCTGAAAATGCCAGAAAACAGGTTGGTAAATATAGGCTCTGCCACACAGTGCTACATAGAAAAAAAGCATCTCAGTTGACCTTAACTCACTGGCAAATCTAGACTGTTTCAGAGAATAGAGATAAAGATTTCAACTCTATGGGGAGTACGAAATGGCATTGTGGGCAATCCTGGGTCTCCTGTGGCCATCCTTCTACAATTCCACAGCTGAACAAAGCCATTTAGCTCTAGGAGTCTATCATAGAGTCTAATACTTTTTTTCACTGATTTTAAGTTGGGAGGATATCCTATTGTGTGACCATTCCAATGGAACCTTTTTGAACAGTAGTACTTTAAATTACAGTCATGGTACTCTTTAGTTTTCATGATTAGCTGGAAATATACTTGTCTTGCTTGTTGCAAGTGGCAAGAGGAACCCACAATCATAATCCCCAAGTTGCTATTACACATGCACGGCACCTATGTAAGCAGCCTTACAATGAATGAAATGCACAGAATGCAAGCTGATCTGATGTGCGTTTGGTCCTTTTATTGGTAGTAATCTGATCACGCTTGTTTTGAACATCTATCACATGAACTTATGCAAAGCACAGTGTTGGAGCAAAAGTGATTGATGTGTAACTTTTGGTTATTACTGGGTAATATTATTGGAAGTCAAAAGGTTACAGAAAACCAAATGCAGGTCATTGCAAAAGTATAGATTCCTTACCACTTTACATAAGTTGTCAGAGTATTAAAATAATCATTATTTTTCAGGAATGATCTGAAGCTATGGCAAACCTTTGCAGAGATTGAGTGGATATCTGGTAACAGAGATGAGGCTGTCAGAGTGTTTGACTCAACTCTGATGATGGGTGGAGAGATGTTTCCTGATGAACAAAGCAGAAGAGCTGCCTTAGCCCCTCTTGTCAGGTACCACTTACCCTTTGCAGCCTTAGTATTGCATTGCGCATCCTTACTGTGCATAATTTCCTGTGGGATACTGATTAGCGTGCACACATTAAAACATGATGGCTTTTACTTTAAGGCTGGAGCTCCCCGGAGAGCTAAAATTAAAATAATATATTAATGTTCTCTTAAACAAGTATAGTAGCCTGCCATTCATTTTGTAAAACCAACACATTGCCCTAAATAGTTGGAAAAAATATAAAGGATTCTTAATTAAGTGGATGCAAATAAGAAACTGCTTATCAGCAGTCAAGATCAATAGAATAATAATTTATTATAATCAACAAAGCACAGCCTATAATTCCCAGTGTACAAGTTGTTCCTGCTCCTAAACGAGTATGGGGATCCCCACTGCCCACTTTTATTTCAAAATTTAGGTTTCTATTACGTAAACAACCAATCAGTAAAGTTTGACAAAAATAATCTCACTGCAGGTTCTATTTCAGAAGAATGAGCTTTAAAGGGAAACGGGTTGGATCTTAGGGATGGAGGAGCCTCCCTGTATCTAGAACTATAAAAAGACAGCTTTAGCTGATGGAATCAGCATGCTCCAAAAAAAATGTGCCAAGCAATAATCACACATACTGCTCAAAAAAAGAGAGGCTATTTTTGCCTTTTTTCTCTTAAGTTATTTCTTAATAATATTGTTATTATTACTTATTTCTGTAAACTTGTTTTAATCTATGTAGAAATAATTTTATATACTACTACTAGTGCTACTACCACTACCACTGCCACTACTGCTGCTGCTGATAAGCTAGTTGATCTTTGGTGTTCCTTACTTTAGGTAACATTATGTTTAAATGCTTAGTTGTGTAGTTTGAATCTTTACTAGAACAGTGAAATTAACAAGTTTACTTAGTTCTTCCCATATAAACTTCCATGTCGGGTTAGACATTCAGCAATGGACTAACCCTTGCAAGGAGTGTTTTGTTAACTTTTGATCCAACAACAGCTAACAATGCTTAATAATAATAATATTAAAATGATTTTTGATTGATTATTAGGTCTTATGCTGAGCTAGAAGTGGGTATCACTACAGACTTAAGGAAGTCCCAACCTTTGTCAGGTGTAGAGAGTAACAAGAAAGCACTGCAGATACTGACAACTTTTGCAGAGGGAGCTATGTTCCAACCTGGCTCGTCCAACTCATCAGCGTTCACATCAGCTGTTCAACTGCTTAAAGCACGCAGGGTTTTTCAAAAGATCCACCAAGGCATAGTTGAAACAGGTGAATCTCAGACAAAGGAGACACTGATGTCAGACTGTGGTCTTGCCTCTGGAAGTTTGGCAGTCTATCTAGAAGCTTGCTGTGTTCTTTTTGAGTACCTAAACACTGGCATCAACAGTGTGTTGTGCATGTGTAATGACTTTTTGTCAAACCCATCTGGTCTCTGTGAGTTGGACATTGAGCTCATTCTCAGCTCTTATATCAGACTTTTCAAATTTCACTGCAACACTGGCAGAACATTAACTTTGAAGGACACAAGACATATTCTGCACTCCGCACTAGAGAAGTTTCCTAATAATCCAGAATTCATTTCATTTAACATCCAGCAAGAGTCAAAGTCTGTTCTGACTGGTGAAATAAGAAGAACGCTTGACAAGGTGACGCAGAAAGCAACCACACCCATCCCTTGGATCTTTGCTCTTCATTACGAGCAGTGTAGGTCACAGTCTGTTGCATCTGTCATGGAGTGTACTGATCCATTGGCAACTGTCTTGGAAGAAAACCCCACACCAGTCGTTACTTCTCTTCCTGTTACAGGGGTGGTTAATCGTCAGTACTCATTGTTTGAAAGAGCAATAGCCAGTCCATCAGCAAGACATTGTGTGGCATTGTGGAGAATGTTTATGAAATTTGAGGTAACTAAAGCATAAAACTGTTAAAGTTCTTGCAATTTCACGTTAGTTTGGTTTTTGCTAGGGACATGGTTGCAAGTTACTGTAATAATAATGTAAGAGCACTTATGATTGGCAAAAAAAAAGGAATGGGATTTATAACAGACAGAATTAGAGTCGCAAGGATCAGAATGTTCCATTTCCTTGCAACTACTATAAGACAATGTAATTTAGGCCCCGTCCACATGAACCCAAATATTTTTGAAATTGCATATTTTCTTACACAAATCGGCTGTCCATCCACATGAAACCAGTGAATTTGCTCATTCACCTGCAGCCTATTCATGTATAGCCTGCAAAGAAATTATTTAACCTCGGTTAGTAATGTCTGCCAAGCATGGCTGATATCTTTGATCTGGGCTCCCAATGAGCTCAACGTATTTCCAGAAGTGTGATTCAAATTTTCTTTCATTGTGATTGGCAAGTGGACGATGGCATATTTAACAGCCAATCACGACATGTACTTATATCCCAGTAGGCAAGGGGGCCTGGAACAAGAATTTTGATGCTGTTTCACAGATAGACTTAACCAGAGTTTAATTTCATCTTTGGCACAGGCTAGTTGATGTAAAAAATACGCAGTTTCAAAAAAATCCAGATTCATGTGGATTGGGCCTTAGATTGTAGAAGCAAAAGCAGAAGTGGATAAATCAATCAATCATGATCACTTCCATGCATTGTGATTGGTTTACACTGTAGTTCTTCCACTTCTGCTAGCAACTCTGTCAGTCTGGTTCTCATTTGATCATAAGCAACAGTTGTAAGTAGAAGTGGACCTCTGGAATAAATGACACTAGGGCTTGGACTCTTGCTCTGGCCATCGCTGGGAAAACCAGCCTCTAATAACAGTACTGCCATTTACTTCCAATGATACTTCCCTTTTACTCGTAATAACCAAAGGTTATTGAGTGCGGGCAACAATGATCGAAGGTCAAAACGCTTTTGCTCAAATGCTGTGCTTTGCATAAGTTTCACGTGATCGATAGTCGAAACGCGCAATCAGATGACAGGTGATAGAAGGTCCAAACACGTGATCAAATTGCATTCTGTGCATTCCATTCATTCTTAGTGCAAGTTCCAAACGAATGTTGGCTACATACATGCAATGTATGCGTAATAACAACCTGTCCCCAGTCGTTCAAAAGTTGGATAACGCTATCCACCAGATAAATCACTATCCACCGGATAAGTGTCTGGGAAACCAATTGCGCTATCCAGTGGATAGTGATTTATCCAGTGGATAGCGTTATCCACCTTTAGAACAACTGGGTCCTGGAGATTAGGGTTGTGGGCTCCTCTTGTCACCCACAAAAGAAATAAGAGTAAAGTATCAGATACTTTTCTAGAAATTGCATTTTGAAAAAACTTATCTGAAAGAAAAAATGATGGGAATTTTTATGAATTTTCATCACTTAAAGTGTGCTCTTTAAACATTCTGTTATTTGAATCCAATTAATGTTAGCTTTCCCATTCTTTCAGTATCTCAACTTATGATTTAATTTACACTGCTGTACTGGTAATCTTGCTTGTAGTCTTTGAATTATATGTGGCATTGTTTTTTGTTGTTGTTTTTTTTTCATTTTAATAAACTAAAGATGGCATAAATAATGCAGCTCTCTTAAGTTCTTTTAATTAACTCTTTTTAGTATTTATTTGCACTTGTTTTGGAAATGTTTTCAGTCACAACGTGGAAAGGAGAAAGTCAAGTCTGTATTTTACCAAGCTCTACAAAATTGTCCCTGGGCCAAGGTAAATCAGTGTGAATTTAATTGAGTAATAAAATTATTAAGTTCTGCCTATTGTCAAATGTCAGTTAAGGAGTTTAGTTGCAACAAGCTGTTTACAGACAGTGTAGGTCATTAAAGGATCTTCTTTTTTGAAGGTTTTGTACCTTGATGCTGCACAGAATTTACCAGAGGATGTCCAGGACATAGTTGATTTAATGACAGAGAAAGAAATCAGACTGCGTGCTCCACTTGAAGAAATTGAACTTCTCCTTCATGATTAGTCTTGCAACAAGTATTGCTAAATCAAGGCTTAAACCATTCATCTGGAATCTTTTGAACGCTGGACCCTGTATTTTGTGACATACATTTCTTTATTCAGCATTACTTTGGTTTCTCCTGAAGCATCTGTCAGAATGTTTAGTACCATTCAAAACACTCTGACTAAGACCAAAATACTGTTTTAAAATTAATGTCATCATTCTTGTACTCTAAATTGCGAAGACTAAAGTTGTTTGTTTCTCCGTGTGTTGAAAAGATTCTTCTTTGAAAGAAATCTTTGTACATTTTCACTAGAGGTAACATTATAAATAGCCCTACTTGCATTTCCAAATCTTTTATGCCACTCCCTTTGCAGGAATCTCATGATTTTTAATTCAAATTCAATTTTGAAAAACCTAGAGTACATTAGTAAGAAAACCGTATAACAAAATCCATGGATACATTATTCATAATAATTATATACATTTGTTGGCACCTTTTTGTTACTGTGCAACTAAAAATTAATGTACAAGCTTAAACTAATGATACTGTTGATAAATATTTACAATCAAGTGTACTAAATAATACAATTGCAAGTAGTACATCAAACACTAGAGTATTTTTTAGGGGTTCCAGAAAACGAAAAGAAAGTAGATTTTTTATAACCACCTTCTTTGTGTCTGGATACCAAAACACTCTTTCACAGGTTTGAGACGGCTATCCAATGATCAGTATTTTTTAAAATAAATTTGAAGTCAAACTTCTCGTCATATTAGGAGTACATTATCATTTTAAACCTCTTGCAGTGATGATTTATTTTATTTTAGCATCCACGCTGAGATCTTAGTTATTAACAATCTGTCACAATTAGTAATAACAGGGCTGTCACTGAGACTTCAGGTAGCCAGGAAGTTCTTTTGGTTATATCATCCCTTTGTTTCCTATGAAAGTAATTGAGGGTTATGCTTAGAAAACCCTGAAAATCCCTGGCCCTTGGTTCTTAATGACAGCCATGAGTGATGACATAGATTTCAGAGTACTTTACTTAAAATTAATGAGCAAAACTATGCAAGTGGTGTAAGTGGACAAAAAAGTTGCAAACCTCCCACTACAATAATTCAAGAACACCCAATATTATTGTTTTCTAGTTAGTTAAGGTTTGTTGGACAGCAAAATATTACTGTGGCTTATTTGTTCACCATTTTGGGCTTCATGATTGTACAGTACAGCATGGTAATTGTAGCATTACATGTATGTTTCTTGTGTGTAAATCTGCCATATTGCATGCAAATTCAGGGTTGTCAGAAAGTTTTGAAGTAGATGGCTAAGTTGTCAAAGTAAGCGGCCAGTCCAGGGACATTTTATTTAAAAAACGCCGATACTAACCAAATAGGCGGCGATTTTCGCCAGCAGTCGGCTACTTTTAACAACCTTGAAATTACAAGAGAAATACATCTGTGAAACACAGCGTAAAAAATAATTATACAAGAAAATGCACGCAATTTTTTGTAAACTTAGTGTACAAGTAAGAGAGAAAATTTTCCTACTATAAACTCATCTTGCACGTAGTTGTTTGTGTAGAATTTTACACACGTGTTTTTTGCACGTATTTTGCATGTGCATCACTCGTTACACGCAATTTACACACATATAAATGCTGGCTGCAATTCCCGTGGCCTGGACTGTATGTGCAAAATTTAACCAATGATTATGAGAAGGTACCATTACTCCTATTGAGATTACATGTAGTATCTACCTTCAAAATTTTTCTATTGCAGCATGTATCTGATTACAGTTAAGACTCATCACAGTCTCAAAATTCTTGGTTTTTGCAAGCTTCTTGGAAGCAATTCTATAAATATTAGAAAAATGTATTTTGTAGTAAGTGCAAAGTGCCAAGGGCAATTGCTGGGCAAAGGCGTTTCAAACTACACCCCTACCCTTCTCGGGACAGGGTTGGTACAGATTTTTGGATCCAAAATTCAAGACTTTTCCCCAAAACAATATTTATTTTTCTAGACTCAAGGTTACCAACAATAGAGACCTTGAAAAACCCACTCCCTAGGAAGAGAGTTCTAAAAATTCTCATTCTGTGATTAAAAGTCTTGGCTACGGGCGAGATTAAAAGGGATTTGACCACGGGAAAAATTTCACTTATAACGCACTTGTTGTAGCTTCACAAAAAATTTCCCACCTTTTACCATTTTTCCAGGTCTGAAAAATAACTCTGGAAATTTCAAGACTTTTTCAAGAATTCAAGACTCTGTACCAACCCTGTCTGGAGTTTTAAAATGTCAAATTTTGTTCACATATGAAAATGTGAACTTGTTCACAATTTGATACTTAGACCTCAGTTTGGCCGACAGACATGGCCAAATCATTTTTGGCAATGCCTGTTTCAGTCTCTAATGAGCCATGATGACTCATATGAATTTCATCAGCGGTCTGGGTGCCACTGCTCTCTGTGACAACAGCTTGAGTTGTATATGCCTGCACACCAGAGTTAATGTCCGGATGCACCTGAACAGTGGCAAGGGACAGAGATCCAGGCAGGCTCTGCTGTCCCATGTCACTTGCTTCTGCTGAGAGATGAGCATGACCGGCAGACTGATCAGAACTGCCATCCGACAAGTGAGACACTGTAACAAGCCCAGATGATGGTGATGCATACACACTATACATCACTGGAATTTGTCCCGCTTGTGAAGTCAACATCATGGAGGATGGGACAACATTTCCCAGGGAGACAACATTGCCATCTTGGTTGGTGGCTATGGGAACCACTACAGTTCCAACTGATTGTAAGTTGTTGGCCTGAGATCCCGAGGCATTATCACCATTAGGCTCGTGAGTCTGGCTGGCATCCTGACCCATTTGCAAGGTGATGGTGTTAGATGTTGTCGTAGGGTTGACAGCATTTACCTGTACAGTCTGTGTTTGTGGCTGTTGAACTCGTTGGATTTGCACTGGCTGAGAAAGAACCTGTGCATAAAGCAAATTTTGAAATAAAGTTCTGGTTAAGAATTGATATAAGAATGGTGCATATACAATTTATTATTGTATCCAAAGATTTCACAAAACTATTGAAACTGAACATGTCACTGTTACATACTGGTCTTTGAACAGGGTTCTCATTAAGTACCCGCAACTGGCTAAAAAAAATAGATACTTAAATTTTGAGCTGTCTACTCAGTTGAGCGAGCAAAAGCCTGAAATTGCCTTCAGCACTCAGTTGCAAAGCTGCCTACTTTTACATCCTAGCTGTCTACTCTAAAACTTAGTAATGAGAACCCTGTTGAATGGTAAGAAGGGAAAAATGTTTCATTAAATTTTAATGTAATCTTCATTATAACAAACTGACAATAGAACAATTTACTTCCATTTCATAGACATCATTTAAACCTGCTCACATTTTTAACCCACCCCAACAATTTTGAAGCTTATTACTAGTGAACAGTGAAATTTATCATTACTATCAGGAAAAATGAGATACTTTGTGTGGCCTTAGTAAAAAAGTGTACAATACACTTGAATTTAACTACTATTTTGCAGGGAAAAAAGCGCTAAATGACAACTAAATTTCATGATGTTCACCTTTTGGAAGTCATTTCACAGAAACTGCTTTCACCAAACAATAATTGTTAAGAAATTCATAATAAAACAGGATCCTTGAAATTTCTTGCAACAGTTAAATTTTTTGAAGTCTAGTGACTTATATAGTCAACAACTAGTTTTACCACCATCATGACTTTTCGAAATACCCAAAAAGGGCAGAAGTAACAAAGCTCAGTCTATAACCACAGAGTGGAATGAGACAAACAACATTTGAATCCCAAATATTCCCAACACTTAACTTTCCCACTGTGTAAAATGATGGAGTACTCAAACAAGACTGAAGAGTCATGTGGAGCATATTTCTACTCTATTGTGACTAAAGAATTTGTTACAGCTACATATTTTGACTGACCCAGTCACTACCAAATAGCTAAATGACAGCTCTTTTTGTTCAACACAGCTTGAGCATATTTAGAATTTGTCAACTTTGCATTATAATGCATTCTTCAGTGTTTTCTTGAGTTGTGCTTAAAAACAGTATACAAAAAATTAATGGAACTGCATATTTTAACCAAAACTGTTAAAACACAATTTCCAGTAGATGACAGCTTTTTGTCCAGCACAACTCAAGCTAATCCAGTATCTGACAGTTCACATTTCACAAGGTTATTAAATTCAGTTGTCCCAAAAGAATAAAACACAATATGCATGTACATATTTTGACCAAAACTGTCAAAACAACAGATGTACATTGATAGCTTTTTGTTAAGCATAACTCAACCAGGTTCTTTGTAACTAACTATATTCCATTTATTAAGTATGTTTACACCTCAAACTTACACTGAAGTTTTCATTTGTAACGTACTTAATCTCCTCAGTCCTTTATAATTTATAGTCTATAGTGTTCTCTATTATTTTTTGTCAAACTAACATTTCTAGATAACCATCAATTAACAGTAAATAATATAACTCATGACCTCTATAATTTATTATTTATTATAAGTTTTTGCAAGTTTCACTGGATGATCACATATTAAGAATTATTCTCTTCTGTATTTTATTATTCTGCGTTTAGTGGAGGTGAAAACCCCAAAGGAAACGCTTTATAATCTTTAAAGTCTTGCTTTCACCTCCACAGCTAATCATGTAGTCCTGTAAGATGGTTCTTACTTTAAGTATGTGGTCGAAATCGTGCGATGTGACCATTCAAATGAATCCTCTTAAGCAGTTTTTTAACATGCTACTATTTGTTTTTCAACATCTTGCAAAGTAAAATCTGGAATTTTTGTTCAATTCTGACTTTGGCCACTTTGGGGAGAGCAAGGGTTAAAGTGATACCGTAAAATTGGATCCTTCTTGCAGGTCAACAGAATAACGGAATGCCGAAAGAGCTCAAGAAAACTTTATCATAGGATTTCATCTCACTAGTCCAATAAAAGATGCCTAAAAATGGAGAAGAGAAAGTGAGTTTATCTCCTACCTGTACAGTCGATCCCTGTTGCTGGCCCTGAGAGAGGTTCTGCCCCAACTGAACTGATGTCCCAGGTGCAAAGATAGTTGTAAATGCTCCTCCTGGCATGGCTTGCACAGAATATGATGATTGAACAGAGGCATTTTTGTTTCCACCTTGCTGCTGAATGTTTGACTGTGGAATATAGGTTGTGATAGGGAAGGAATGACCTGTCGCTGGCAAAGCCGTGATGCCAGTCATGGGTGCATTAGTACCTGATAAGGCACCCACTGTTAAACCTTGAGTGGTGTCTATTTGCTGTGTGGTGAATATTCCACCCCGGTCCTATAAAAGATAACAAGTTAAAATAAGTTAACATGACTGATGTGGTATCAAAATGAAAAGAGATGAGAAATTCTTAATATAGTCAAACTTTACTGTAGACCTCATAATACCTCTTGACTAAAATAATAATATGGCACTTACAGAGGAAAGTCTGTCATAGCTGAATTATAGTTGCTTTTAAAATCATTCCTAAAAGGACTCGATAACAAAGTCATCCCTACACACACTATATGGCACAATGTTAATATTGTGGACATTGAACGGATCGCAAAGGACGTTTAAGTTTAAAAAAATTGAAAGTGATCAATAATACATTTATATATACAGATAAATAATTGATCTGAGCATATTGACTTTATTACGCATTTGTCATAAATCACTTAGATGCTTCTGATGTTGTTGTGGATTCTCCGCTCTGCACTTAAAAAACACAAGTTGGGGCTAATCTATTCGTTGACATGCAAAGATCAACTAAAATTATACGTTAATTTAACCTTCGAGCAAAAGATCAGTCTGTCTGTTGAAAGATTGATTCAAAACTTTTATTTGACATTAGCCGCGACTTAAAAAAATAATCTTGTCTTCGATGTGAAGAAAACGTTCTTACAAAGCAAGATGTATTCAATATGATTGCGATATGGCAAACGCGTCGAATATATTTAATGGTAGTTTTTACGCAGCTTGTATCGAGAAATTGGCAAGCATTAAAACAGAGAAATTTCTCGAACGTCGAGAGAATATCAAGTTTCAGGAATCTTGCTCGAAAGCGAAAGAAATTTTTTGCAGGAAAATACATTTGAGTCATTTGAAGAAATAATGCCGTGAAATGCTTTTGCCAAGGCCTCGAACTTCCAAAACAAAGGAGGATTCCCCCAACAAACAAGCACGGGTTTACATTCGTCTCCAAAAATGGGCAAGAAATGTACCAAAGAAGGAAACCGACGCCATATATGGTTGGAATGTTTCAAAGGACACGGAGTTTGAAATTGTACGCGAACATTTGCCGCGAAAGTGGATCTTATCGAATCCAAACACGCCGAAAAGACTAATGTGAAAAACTGCAGTACTGAGGAAAAATGCGAAACATAGACATTATCCCCAACAGTGGTCAATTTGATGTTAAAACTGCTGGCGAGGTTCAGACGTTTATAAATTTGTAATTGGATTTGCTAAACCTGTTTTCAGTAAAATAGGGAAAAGAAAACAAGCATAAGTCCATTTGCTCAAAGATCGAAATTATGGCGAAATTCTAGCGCTTCATTTTTTTAACGAAGATTCGTAAATAAATACACGAATAAGTTGAAAAATAAAGGATATAACGCCGATCTAAATTAAATGAATAAATTTTCGATAAGTGTATTCTTGTTGGCAGTACATGTACCTGCATCTTTTCAGCGTCGTTTTCGTTCACAGTGTAGGTTAAATCTGTTTCCTCGTACCCTGTGGCTGACATTCTCTGGTCTGGGTTGGGAATCTGTGACACTGGAGGATCTGGAGAATTGAGGCAAGTTTGAATAAGAGCTTTGCCGCTCTCTGAGGTGATCATAGGCTGAAGTTTTCTTGTGGCGAACGTATAAACATGGCCAGTTTCCGAAGCGACTAGCAACATCACCTGCGTCCCTGTTAAAGTACTTAGCTCGTACGCCTAAATTGAAATAAAATAAGACAATTTATTCAAAGGAAACTTTAGCAAAAAAAAGCTGATTTTTTTTTCCGAACTGTAAAAAAATTAAGGCATGGAACTTATCAAATTACGCAGTACAGGTAACATAAGCCAACCTTTTTCATAATTCCAGTTTTCCTTTTACTAAAAGTTGTGTATCTTCTCAACTTGTTGGCAATAAACTTCATTTCAATTTTTACTCTTCCTCGGGTCTTTTTCTTCGGTCTTTCTTCCTCCAACATGCTGGTCTCGGCGTCTGCATCGTCGTCGCTGTCTGCCTGTCGCTTCAAACCATGTCCTCCTTGGTGATCCATCGCTGCTTCGAATGCTCCCTGTTCAATCGTTGATGGGTCAAGAACTCCGGTGCTTTGAGCCTGAGCTGAGTAATGCATGGTCTCGAGTGCCTCTGTTGTTGTTGTGGATTCTTCGGTCTGCATTATACAGTTGTAAGATGGCCTTTTATGGAGACGGAACAAGAAAACCTGTTGCCCTTTTTTGTCGTCCCCTTGCTTCTGAAAAAGGAATGTGGGTGGACCAATATGGCGGACCAATGGTCCCGTGACCACAACTTGATCACGTGATCAATAATGTTCAACCAACCGGAAGAGCGCACCACATCGGCAAAATAAAAACTTGCTGCGGTGAGAAGACAAAAACAAACGTTTTGTTGCGTTTGCCAAAGGGGAATAAAGATACATACGGAAAAGCAAAAATTTACGGACGATCTACATTCGAGGAAAATGTTTAAAAGTTGTAAGCATTCGACTCAAGGACAAATCCATTCTTCTGACGTAAAATGTCTCCTGTTGATCCTCGGGTTAAACCCTTTCGTCGGGCCTGTTCGGGCAGGGCCCTTCGGTTGACGGAAGTAAGGCGGCGTTACAAGAGCCCTTCTTCCTGGTTACCGCAACAACAATAATATAGCCTCCAGTCCGTCAAACCTATACACCATTCTCAAGCTTTATTTTCTTTGTTAATTTTCCAAAATTTATAAACCAATAACGATTTTAACAAATTGGCATTGGTTTTATAGATTCTGTTTGTTACTCCGCTTAGAAGTAAGCCTTTGGCAACTTCATTTTAACTGCTTTGTCAGATTTCAGAGATGATGCACAGTTCTTTTGGCAACTAATATTCTTGACCACATATATACCGGAAGTCGCGCCCTAGATAATTTTATTTTTATTTAGTCTTAATTTTTATTTATAGCCTGCCTATAACTAGAGATAGAAGAAGCCAAAAAAGATGAAAAAGGAGAAAGACTAAAATGCCAAGAGAGGGAGGATATTAAACCGCTTCAACTCGGCCCGTAGTCACGGGTCAGTGTAAGACTCTGGGCTGAACTGCCCTCTTGTCACCCCTCTCCTGACCAATGAGCATGTCCCGGAAATTGTGTGTGTCCTTAAATATACCTCTAAGAGATATAGATAGGTATAGATCTTCTAACTGCTAATTAGTGCATAATTTTGGGATAATTGTATGGGAATAATAAACGTTTTAAGCCGCAATGGTTCTCATATATGATTTATTTCATAAACATTTAGTGTCAAAATGGTCTTGATGAAAGATTTGAGGTCACCTAGTAAAGTGATATACGTTAGAACTGATGAAATTGACTAGAATTAAAGGGGAACAGATTTGATAGTGGAAAGTTAACAAGCTTATTATGGCTAAATGGTTCCAGTGGCATGCCGCCTTTAACAAGGTTGGTTCCAACTTCAGGTTTTAATGTGAAAATCGTCTCCAGCCCCCAATCCTCCCCCCTTGCGTGTCTCCCTCTCGCGCTCGTTCTTTCTCGCGCCCACTACTTCCGAGTGTCTGCTACGCAGGCTAACTAAGAATCAACAGAATAATATTCTTGGATAAGCTTTAACTATCATGAAATTACGTTTTGTAGAATATCGGGAATCAGGTACTGAGTCATGATTGTTTTTATTGAACCCACCGTTCATTTTGACTGATAGTTTGCCCCTGAAAATGTGATTTACATTATGTTAAACATAAATACCATAAAAGGCCTTAATCAAATTTCCCTCAGCTGTATCGGGTGGGGTCGTCACATGAACTCCATGATATTACCTATTTGAAAGAAATATTAGCCTTTTTCCCCTGTTTTTAGCGAGACTTGATGGAGAAGAGGGCAATATATATGGGTGCTTCCTTTCCGTATCATATCTATATCATAAATAACCAGATACATTGTGTTACAGGTTGTTTGTGGGCCCCAGCGTTTATCATTAAGGCCATCCCCTTTTTTTTTTCGTTTAGCGTCGAATGCATTTCCAGATACTGGATCGGTCGCAGGGGCGGATCCAGGATTTTTTTTAGGAGGGGGTGCACTCGTCTCTTGCTCTACTTTAACACCAATAAACCACATAGTTTTTTTTTTGGCAGAATACCAGTTGTATTAGAAAACCGCAGGTCATCTCAGAGGGAGGGGGGTGCGCACCCCCTGCACCCTCCCCCTAGATCCGCCCCTGGATAGGTCGGATTGAAAGAAAAAGAAACTAAAAAAAATTACAAGAAGTCTCGGAATAGGAGGTCCTGGTACCCTGAAAAGACGTTAAAAGTTAACATTCACATAATTGGATTAACAAAATGTACAATTTACTGTAAAAAATGTTTCCGTTTTTTCTCTATGCTGTTACTATGATCATTTTTCAGATAGATTAAAAGAATTATTCCAAGTGAAAAATGGTTTAACTACGTCATTACTTTTTTTAAAAAAAAAGCCAAAAATTTGGGTCGGTCGGACGACGCTAAACGGAGAAAAATAGGAGGATGGCCTAACAAAAAGTTTGAAAGTAAATGAAACACGATTTTCGGGTGGTTCAGTGGAAAAGTTCCGAAACAAACAGAAAGGTGGTTAAGCCAATCTTTAATATTAGTTTTATTTGACCGGTTAATTTTTCATAACGGTTATTAAGAAGTAGTGTTAATAATGTATGATTGATAATTAAAATTCAATGATGCCAGAGCAAACAGTTCTCCTGAACAGATTTTGTTTGGTCCTAACTACACAAATCCGGATTTTTTTCGGGATTTATAGGGCCTCACAGAATTCTTAGAAAACTATAGCATTTCTAGAGACTTAAAAGGATTTACAACTGAAAAGATTTGAAACTTGAAAAAGTTTCGAAACAAGACATCTAACAAGAAATCCCAAAGCAAAAAGCTAGTATGAGGCCAACCGAGGCACTCGCCTCGGTAAAATTTTGACGAATTTCGCCGATCATTTTTATTTTACATAAGCGATCATCGGATATTTTTAACGCATCATGATATTACAAAGAATTCAGCAATTCAGTCAATATACTATGAAAAAATTACCATATCATCGATCTCAAGGGGCTACGTACGTTAACTCAAATTTTTTTTGAACAAATACTGATCAAAACCATTGGCGAGGTTAACGGTCACCCAGATTATGTAGCTTGTTTCTGATTATTGCTTTTTAAATTCCACTTAAATTAACTCGAAAAAAAGTTACCGAAAGGCCCAGAAAACGCTGCAAATCGCATTTCCGAGAGACTAAAGTTCAAAATTTCTCGGGGGGGGGGGGCATGCCCCCGAACCCCCCTAGCAACTCCCGCCTGCCTCGGTTGGCCGTTTGGTCTGGCTACGGCACTGAATTCATGTTTCGATGTTCCTTCACAGATTTTGTAGCTGTTTTTACCTATCCAGCATTTCTTGGCGGGTTCAGGTGTAAGAAATAGAACCGGGAATTGTTTTTAGAGAAAACAAAATGAAGATTTTAGGCCTTTTTTGTGATTTTTGTACCGTACTAAAAAAATTGAGAGGAGGCGCTCCAGGGCGCCAACAGCCAGAGTCTGAGCCGCAGTTTTGTTCAGCGGATGCTGTCGAATGATAACAAAGTTCCCGTATGTGCAGACGTGTAGTTCAGTTCCTCTCTAATGTGAAAGCCAGTCATATCCAGCCACGAAAAATCATAATTTTGACACAGGTTGACCGAAATTTCCGAGAAACGGGTACAGCAGTGTTTGTGGATAATGAGCTAATTGTGCAGCCCTTATCAGAGTTGAAAATAATTCGTACATCATGCGCGAGGTAGTGTTGACTGCAGCCAGTTTAGCGCTGACAGGCGCTGTGGTCGCGAATGCTTACTACCAAAAACATCAATTTTACCCTTCTGTTGTTTATTTGACCAAGTCAAGTCCGAGCATGGCGGTAAGTCGTAGACCCTCTATGCTAAATAGAATGGAAAACCTGCTTTCAGTTGCTGGTTTATCACCATCAACTATCATAGATCATTGTTGTCAATGTAGAGTGCTGTTGGAGGTTTGGCATTAATATTATTATCCAATTCCTGTTTTGATGTAGGTTTTGTACATTCAAGCTTTTGTTCTTGTAATTCTGCTGGGAAAAGTGATGAGAAAAGTTTTCTTCGGACAGCTGCGAGCTGCAGAAATGGAGGTAAATTTCATTCATGGACTTAAGTATTTTTATACAATCTGAATGTAGAATCTTATTAATTGATTCAAGGCCATCAGAAGACTTCTTAAGTGACGTTTGATATGCAGGAAATAGATCAGCCCATTTCATTTTCCACTCAACATCAGAATTCCATGCTCTGGGGATCCCCCCACCATGCCTTATGAATTTAACTCTTGTATCAAAAGTTTGCTCTGGTCACCATCATTCAAAGTATCTGTACAAGGCTTTACTTTAAGAAAAATGATAAGGAGACAAGAACCCTTAAGATTTCCGAGATGCCACAACAATAAAAACTAATTGCCCAAGGGCACTGTAGCAGCCAAGACTAAATGAGTGGGCAGCCAGCAATTTTTCTGCTGCCACTGGAATGTTTGCTTCCCACCCAACACTTGGGTTTAATTATAACTTTATTATATAACTTAGATGAAATCACCTGCTTTTCTGGTTGTCCTGCTTAACACTGTTAAACTTTCTGATTGGGTTGGCTGCAGCCCTGCAGAATAGGAGAATGAAAAAATGTTATCGGCTGCATAAAATGATGTTAACAAAAGTTATTCAGATGCTGTAAATATAGGATGCTTTAACATTTGACTTGAAAAATAGCTTCAAAAATTAGGTTACTTCCTATCACCACCACATCGAGCATGTAAGAAGTGGACTGCTTAAACCAGTCACATGGCCAGTGTCAGCTCCCGATAGTTAACTCAGAAAAAAAATGGACGGCAATACCATGTAGAATTTGTGGTTGTTTTAGCGCTCAAGAGATACTTTTGGTGACAAATTTCTACTGAAGATGTATTTCTCTATAATTTTATACTTTTTACACTTTTAAATGTGGCTAAATGTAATTTAGGCCAAGTTAAACAAGAGACTATGCTGGCCGGCGATATCTGTTGCTTATCGTGTGTGGGGTGGGCTTAGGGCTTTTTCAGGGCCCCAGTATATTTATAGCACTCCTTTAGAGGTCAAGTCATATTGCACAAGTTGTCTTTGCTTATACTTGTGTCAAAGCCTTTTGCTCCCAGCCTTTCCCTTCCTCTGAGTGGGGTCTTGGCAAGTATCTGAAAACTTTCGGCTGAGGTTCTCAGTGTGATGGTGCCTTGTGGTTGCCGCTCATAGGGTTGTCATGGTTACCTTCACGCTCACTTGCGGCTCAGTCAGTTTACTCAGGCACCTTCCCTACACCCATTTATTGCAGGGTTTTAGTTCTAAATAAATGCAAAAATTGAGGTATGAAACCTTTTATAATAATTATAGCTTGCATTTTGCGGTGATTTCAATATGCCACGCATCATGAAATGCTTCTAAATTCAGCATATTATTAGTGTCAAAGCCCTACATATTTTAGTGAATAATATGTTTATTCATATTTGTGTGTTCAATCTAGGTATTTTGATGAAAACATAAAGAAAAATATTAATTGACCTTTTCTGTACACGTATAAAGAAATTGGTACAAGGTCACGCCAATATATGCAAATTAGGATTTTCCCGTAATTTGCATAACAAAAGTAAGCTCTCAAAAATTGATTAGTGGTCTGTTTTTCCACTGATTGGTAGTCTGTTTTCCAGTTGAAGGTCCATTGTGTTAACAACCACAATGCTATACATCTTGTAACCACTGACCTCAGAAAAACCTCTATTTGTTTCAGCATTTAATTGAAAGATCGTGGTATGCAGTCACAGAGACTTGCCTGGCCTTTACTGTTTTTCGTGATGACTTTAGTCCTCGTTTTGTAGCCCAGTTTACTCTTCTGTTGTTCCTGAAATGTTTCCATTGGTTGGCAGAAGACAGAATAGATTATATGGAGAGAAGTCCTGTACTGTCATGGCTCTTTCACGTGCGAGCAGTTTTGCTGCTCATGTTTTTAGGCATGGTGGATGCAGTTCTTGTTCATATTGCTTACAATACAACCATGCAAAGTGGAGCATCTGTACAACTGGTGTTTGGATTTGAAGTAAGAACAAACTTTATCTTATTAGTGCATGCAATGATGTAGACAGTATACAATGCTTTGCCACATGAAATACTCTTTTGTCTGTTGGCATTATTATTGACTGCATTCCAGTGCTGCAGGAGACTGATTTCAAGTGAGTGGTTGAAGAGGGGTCATGTCACCTTTGCAAGTTTTTGTCAGTATTAAAGACCTTTTGGATCAGGTTTTCTTGAAAACCCACAGCACGAACTGCAGTTTGCAGTTATGGGTTTGCAGTTTCGCTTTGTTAGGATGTAGAATTTTAGCAAAGTGTTCATTTTTTAGTGCCATCATGTTGGTTTTCTTCAAGTCACAGTGTTTCACTTTTATTGCCTGAAGAACATGAAGAATTCATTGATTCGAGCTCAAAAATCCAACTGGCACAACAGAAGTTGGTGTAGGAACCTACCTCTTGCTTTTAAACATGAGCCTGTACATTTTTTCGTGGCAAAAAACCTTGTCATAAATCATTTACTGCTGGAAGCTCTTCCTGCTGTTCAAACTGCAGTCGTGACTGCAAGCCCGCGGTCATTATTTTCTTTTGTTCCCTAAACAGTTAGTCCAGGTCAAGAAGAAAGGTTGCAAAGCTTTTCATATGAAACTTGAACAAAATGTTGTTATTTTTCTTTTTTTGCAGTATGCAATTCTTCTAACGATAGTGGTAACTATTCAGATGAAATATGTCCTGCATATCATAGATCTTCGAAGTGAAAATCCATGGGACAACAAAGCTGTTTATCTTCTTTATACTGAGTTAATCACAGGTAAGAACAAACTGCATGAAAGTTGTGTTCTTTGAACTTTTAACATTTGTAGGTTTTGTAGCCCAGTCAAACTTTACTTTATGGACACTCATTGTATACAAACACCTCGTTATTATGGATAGTTTTCTTTCTCCCTCTGAAAGCCCTTAAATTTTCTCTTAATGTAATTTGCTTAATACTGACACCCATAAGGCCATTAATGCAGATGGAAGATACTTTTTTCTTGTCATGTCAACAGATTTTCATGGGAAGTTAGCCTAGCTGATATGGACACCTCATTGTCAACTGTATATTGTAATAAGTCTACCTGCTCTGCTTAGAATTATGGCAGATTTCTTAGAATTTTTTTTTGTTATCTGCCTTGAACCTCTTCAAAAGAGCAAGTTTCAGTTTCAAGGCTTATAAAAGTAGCAAAGACTAACAAATCAGCGAAAGACTTACATTGTATAAATCAGCTGGACTACGATGTACATAGTACGTTACGTGTAAATTTCACTACCTTTTTGAAGCTGAAATGTTTTTAGTCTATTATGATTTTAATGTTAAAAATGTACCTTTTTGTTGAGTGAATTGAGACTTCCTTTGTCTCTTTCAGGTTTTATCAAGACCGTTTTGTATATTTGTTTTATGGTGATCATGATTAAAGTGCATACATTCCCACTCTTTGCCATTAGACCAATGTACCTGACACTAAGGTGAGGCTAACACTGATTCTTTCATTGTTTGTCTACTCTTGTACTCCGTTGAATTTGTCACAGGCAGCAGGGTATTTATTTACTTATTTGTTTTACATTTTATTTTTCTACAGAGGATTTAAAAAATGCATAAGTGATGTCATAATGTCTCGGAGAGCTATTAGGAACATGAACACTCTGTAAGTTTGTAGTAATGTTCCACTATTCAATGAGTGTTGTTACTCTAATGACTTGTTGTTACAAACAATCTTTGAAGTTAATGAAGTGATGGACTCAAAGAGTGGAGTTATTTTACATGGTATGAATGAAATCTTCTTAGTAATCGGTTAAGAAAACCTTAAATACCTACTTAAACAGAAGAAGTCTATACTTAGCTGCATTTTTACTACCCATTTTTCAAATGAACATTAAATGTCATCGTCATCATTGTAGTTTTTTCCTGATGTTTTTCTTTTGTTATTAATAGTTATCCAGATGCCACAGCTGAAGAACTCCAGCAAGGTGACAACGTTTGTATTATTTGTCGGGAAGAAATGACAACAGGCTGCAAAAAACTGCCTTGTAATCATATATTCCACACCAGCTGTTTAAGATCTTGGTTTCAACGGCAACAGACATGTCCAACCTGCCGAATGGATGTTCTCCGACCTCAACCTCCACCCACTCCAGCACAGCCTCCTCAGCCAGGTCCACAGCCCCCATTTGGATTCCCTCCCATGGGAGTTCCTCCTGCTATGGGGCATCAACCTATCCCAGGGACACTACCCCAAGTTCCCCCAAATGGTAAGGAATATGTTGTTGTTAATGTAGTGGTTGACATTCTTTCATTCTCAGTGGACTATGAATTCAGCATTGTACATCCATTTCTGTAATATTATAGGTTTTCTAGAGTGTTGCTTGTTTGCCGACCTTGTCTTCTCTCTCTCCCTCTACTGCTAGAAACATCTGCTCTTCATTAATGTTCCAAAGGTTATCCTCGAGAATTTGCTACCTTCTTAGCACCACTGGAAAAACTTCTGATAAATATATTTTTGGGTATCCATCTACATCACATTAAATATTGTCTGTCATGCTGACTTGTGTTCAACTTAAGTAAAGTGTAGAAAAGTCCATCTAAGAGGCTTGCATAGGTTGTTTTCTTAAGAAGTGTTGCTCTATTTACCATAATGTCTTTCTTTTGTTGTTTTTTTTATTTTCAAAATTATTATTAATTATGTATGTAATCACAACTCTAGCTGCCCCTGTTATGTTCCCTGGTTGGCCACCAATGGCCGGACCCCCAGTGCCACCTGGACAACCACCTACGGCAGCTGCTACAGCGGTGCCAACACCCACTCCAGGTACACCCCCTACACCTGCAACCACACCCAGCACTAGTGACATACCACAAGATGGCACTACACAACCTCAGGTACTCCAGAATACAAACACATGTATGTTTATTCTATATTATTCCCTAGTAAGTCACCCTTTGATCCCAGGAATTTTTTTCTGAAAAAGTGCAATATGAGGCTACTTAATCCATTTTTCTGATCCCCATTTTGGCAAAAAACAATCACAACTATAAATATTTTAAAAAGTTCAGAAACTTTGCTTGCTTAACCCTTTAAGCCCTAAGAGTGATCAGCATCGAATTTCTCCTTGTAATATCAATGCTTTGTAAAACAGAGAGGTTATGAGAATTACGGACGTGATCACACAATGAATTTACTTGATATTTTATCAACGTCTCCCCACTACTTCTGTAGATCTGATCTGAGGGTTTAAAGGGTTAAACTATTCCTGATGAAAAAAATACTGCTTCCTTGGTTTGGGAGTGCTTATAATGCAAAATTTCAAGGAAGAAAGCTTGACCTTTGTCTTTTGCTTTCTTTGCTCCCTGTTCATGTTTTCGTAATGATGTTTTTTTTTTCTTTTTCAGATGCCAGGCTTTGGTTTCCCTCCTCCATTTATGTTCCCTCCTCCCTTTATGATGCCACCTTTCATGTTAGGTGAGTACTATCATAAACACAAGAATTTTTTTCAGTCATGTGCTACTATGCCACCTTTATGTATCACAGTCTCTATGTGGATGTTACATGGTTATCATGCTACACTAGTGTCATGTGGCAAAGGTGTGCTGGGATAGCTTTAAATCTGAGCTCGAATCAATAATCCATACTAACTGAAAGTATAGTTAAAGATTCACAGTCACCGAGAATCTTTACATACTAGAGAAGATTTGAGCAGGCAATCTGTATGGGCCGTTACAATGACAAGCTTAAGTTGAGCCATTGCAAAATCTGCACAGACCAGACACAAATATTTCATCATGTGTGCGAAATAAAACAGTCAGTAGAGGTTTACATCGTAATGAGTACTAATTTAGCTGAGGAGTTTGTCTTTAAAGTTGATTCTACATTAGAGACAATATATCTATATCTCAAGACAGCCTATTCTGCTATTTATAAATTCGATTGATGTTTTCCCCGAAAGTACATTAGTTTTCTACAGATTGTTACAAAATGAAAATAAATGCCTTTCTCTTTGAGATGCCTCTTATCTGTCAAACACCCCTTCTTGGACCACTTAAATTGAATAAATGCCCCGGGTGTCTATTAGATCATTCATGGCAAATGATTCATCAACAGTCAGTCAGTCAACTCTCCCTAAGATGGACACCTTTGGGACCAGTACTATGTGTCCGTCTTAGAGATAAGTCCGTCTTATAGAGAGTCAAATAAGGGGAGTAAAGAAAGGCAGGGACCAACTCTAGGTGCCCGTTTTACAGAGGTGTCCGTCTTATGGAGGTGTCCGTTAAGAGAGAGTTGACTGTATTTGTATTAGGGTTAACAGAGGTGTACACGAGATTCAAGAACTAACTCTTTATTGATCATAGCTTTGACCACGTAGTATTTAAAGAATTTGACACATATTGTAACTGCTAAAGTATTTTATTATTGTTCCGTTCAGGTGGTCTGAGTTCTCCTGTCAATATGGATTTCTCGTCACTGAATATAGAGCAACTTGTAGCTGTTGAAGGTCAGGAAAGGCAGAATGTGGAGGCGAGGATTAACATGTTACGTACAATTCATGCTCTGTTGGATGCAGCTATTGTTCAGCTTAATCAATATACACAGATGATTAATGAACAGAGGTAAATCAATATAGAACGACCTGGCAAAATCTCTCATCCCTTCTCTGGAAATATTTTAAAAACGTACATGATGAATAGAGGGGATCTCACCAGATGCCCATTTGTGTTAAGTATCAACATCATACCAGATTTTTTCCTCACAAAGTGAAGGTTATAAACTTGTTGGAATTCACATCACATGTGGATTGCTTAGGGCGGGGGAATCTCCAGTTAAATGTTGAGCGGTGTTTACAGTGCGACTAGGGCCACTTAGAGAAAACTGACCAATCTGATTATAGGAAAATATCAATACACTCCGAGAAAGTTGGTTGTGGGCCAATCAGCAGCTCGCAAAAAAAACAATAAGTTAGTACAAGCACGACATTTCGATATTGATAACAAACGTTTTTCAAGGAAGCAAAATGTTTCACAGACTATGTTTTTCTATTCAAAATTTTACATGTAAAACCCAGGACCCAAGCTGTTATTTTGTGATCTACCAGCATCTTCGATAAAAATGCTCTTACAGAGAGCCCTGCAAAACGTAACAGTGAAGTTACAGTTGGTGCTTTCCCTACAGTAAGTCTGGCGTGGTTAAATGCGTTCCAAGGGCCATTTTTATAGGTTCGTTTGACCACATGTTGAATTTCAGAGCATTTAAGAAATGTTTCTTGTTTAAATGGTCAGTCGAGTTGAAGTCAGTTTGCAAAAGCTGGTGCCCCTCATCCTTTGCTCCCGGATTCAAGTCTGGGTGAAGTCTTTTCCTTTTTTTTATTTTCTTTGTAATTTCTTTCTACTGGCGTGGTCTCAGAGACACATGCTCCAGTTTTAAGGGTTTTTATGAGTTCCCTTTGAAGAGTTGCCCATCTTGGACAAGTGTCAACCGTTGAGCGGTGTCCATTTAGAAAGGGGTCTACATTATAGTGAAGGCAGCTAATTAAAGAAGTACCCATCCTTAAATGGCGCCATATGTTGGGAACTGAGACCAATTTCATGGTTTTTAAGCCTTGGGAAAAACAAGAGTCCTTTGAATTTCAAGTTGTTATAAACGAGCGGCCTATCCTTCATGTCTCGGAAACTATGTTTCTGGGTGTTCTTCTAAAATGTCTAAATCTATAGGCATTATTCATAAATCTAGGTTTTTTCTCTCTGCTCACTCTCTTCGAACCTTGTATAATTCAATGATCCTTCCACATATATATATTGCAACTTAGCTTGGGGATTTTCCTACAAATCTAATCTTAAAAGGATAGTTATTTTACAGAAGCGCGCACTAAGAATAGTAAGCAAATCTAGGTACGATGCCCATACTGACCCGATCTTCAAGGAGCAAAAGCTCTTGAAATCAAATGTCAAGATATCCACATGTTTCAATTAGGTGTTTTTATGTTTTCATTTAAGAATTCTACACTCCCTTCAATAACTTTTTCTCATTCACTCAATGAACAACCAAATACGCAATTATAATACAAGGTCATACAAGGAGAGCTCAATCTTTTCGTTTACCGCTATGCAGGACCAGTACCTTGCGGTTTTCTGTTTACTTTCAAGGTCCAAAGTTTTACAACTCTCTGAATGCTAATATAACTAAATCTTTCTCCTGTGCAACTTTAAATAAAAGCTTAAAGAATTTCTTCTCAGTAGGGATTGACTTAATATTGCCTTCTGCTTAAGTTACTTCTTTTTTTGTAAAAGCTTGTACTGCTTTTGCTGGTCCATATTGTCATATTAGACTCGCTTTTTTTTAGTTCTGAGGAAACCTGATTCTTTATAAGCCCCGTGGTTTCTTTCAGGTTTCTTTGCCATCTACTTATTTAACTTTCTTAACTTTATTGTAATGATGTGGGATTATGGCGAATAAATATGAATGAATAAACTGATCATATTAGAGATGTTCACCACTGAGGTTAATTATTTGCAATTCACACTCTTTCAGGCAGCCACCTGTCACTGTATCTAATCCCTCAACAGCAGCAGGACCCTCTGGAGAGACCACGGGAACAGAACCCTCAGGGGCGACAGGAGGAGGGCCCTCTGGACTTAAAACGGCCGGACCCTCGGGATCAGGATCTTCAGAGGCAGGTCCCTCGGGACTCGGGTCTAGTGTGGGAGTAGAGGTTTCACCTAGCTCCTCGACTGTTGCTGGGCCTGTAGGATCAAAATCCGCGGTTTCTGAAGCTAGAGACAATTCACAAACCAACTCCGCCGAGTTGAATGACGAGAACTCTGAAATAAGGCGAAGACGCCTTGAGCGTTTTTCAAGCACGTTGAGCCAAGAAGGCTCTGAGAAAGACAAAAATGATTGACCCTGGTCATGTTACGGTGCTTGTAAGAACAACGAGAAAAAGCGGCGACGACAACTAAAAAGATTTCCGAAAGACGCTGTAGTTGTTCAAGATTCGTGGTCAACAAACCGCCGCATACAAGGATTCTACGAAATAATAATTTAAACTTCAACAATTAGAGAACCCACACGCATCCGCCTTTGGCGGTAACGTGGAGAAAGAACAAAGTGGAGATATAAAAGCATTGATATGTAGGTATACGGACTATTGAAAATACGGCATAACCCATTCACGGACACTGACTTATTCCAGCGCTTGAAACTTTATGTTTTTATTATAATATTAGATGAAGGTTCTAAGCGACTGCGTAGGGTAACGTTGAATAAAAATATTTCAAAGAAAGTAAAAGAACGTTTAATTACTTCCTAGCAGATGTTTATAAATATTCTTAGTTTTATCAAAGCTTTAACCCTCTATTTTCTAATTAATCATAACTATAACAAAATTCTCAAATCTGAATGGTTCTCAACTGCCCTGATTTCAGCCTTAATAGGACAGTACGCGTCATGCCTAAGTAATTGGACAGTACGCGCCATCACGCGCGCGCTTAAATGGCTTTTTTTTTCATAGCTAGCGAAAAAATCTTGGAATTTCTTGTGTTTTGATTTAAAAAGAGCCCTATATATCACAAATTTTGTTAAAGTTATGATTAATTGGTAACAGAACTTCGTGTCGTCCAATTCGGTCTGTAATCATACTCGTGATTAAACAAATCGGACTCCCGCTACGCGGTCGTCCGATTTTGTTAATCACTCGTATGATTACAGACCGAATTGGACTCCACTCAGTCCTGTTACCATTACAAATGACCAAACTAGAAGTGAAACTACAAGTCAAAATCGACTGTTCCCACGGTTAGAAGGATAATTGTGCATTTTCATGACAACAGTCAGGCGACAAGGTGGAATTATTCAAACTCATCATAATAGAATTACTCGGCTTACTGAAAACGTTTCGAAGCCAAAATATTGCATTAAACATGTGGAAAATTGTAAAAAAAAAGTGCCTAAATGTTGCCCAAAAGGCGAAAAAATGCTCAAATTCTGCTCAAAAGTGCTGGAAGTGTAAAATAGGCCAATGGGAACATGCCTAGATTAGAAAGTTTGTCGTAAAATTAAAATTAAACTCCAAAAGGAGACCAATTTGGGCGTAGCTCATGGGCGCTATTTGAACTTTCCTGTACGTTCAGTCTTTAACACAGTATGACGGTCAGACATTCCCTTTCGCGATCATACCTGTGTGGGTAAAAAATATTACCTGTTCCTCCTGAACATTCTAAGTGAGACCAAACTATGCAGTATACACCACTAAGTCCGTCCATTGCCCCCCTTCCCCGGGAGGGGGGGAGAAGAACCACTTGAAACGTTTCATCGAATGCAATACGGTGTTTTACTGTTTCTATTGTGTTGTCTTTTTGGCCATGATGGCTGTTACTTTGGACGTTCAATTGGAAGGTACAAATTTAACGTCGCTTTCGGGGAGCCGTTATTTTTCGAATTCTACCGTTTGGGGAGTGTCTTCAAGTGATTTCTTTGTATTACTTTAAGGCGACACCGAGACGGGGCATAGGGACGATACTCTTTCTTCCTTAGTGTCATGGGCGCTTTGCGAATGGTTGAAAAACCCAACAGCGTGGCACGCGTTAAAAGGGGAAGGGGGAATTTGGGCACGCGAGGGAGAAAGGAAAGGAACCCCTAACCCTCCCCTCCTCCCTCGCGCCCTAATTCCCTTCCCCTTCCCTTTCGAACGCCTGCCACGCAGGCCATACAGCCTCCTTCTCGCAACCTTCAGGTGGACGGTTCGTTTCTATCCGAACTGTCATGTACGTTAATTGTTCTCTAATCACTCTGCAGTGAAACGAGAACAAATCATTTTCACTCTAGAAACCATGAAACGCAGACAAGAATCAGGAATAGGCATCTCGTTTATTGATAGCTAGAACACGGGCAAAATACATGAATAAACATACTACAAACTACAGCTAACGAAGACGTAAGCTAACAATAATGTCAATAATGTACAATCTGGTAATAACCTTTCTGAAAGATTAAATATAATAACAAAAAAATAAGAAATACAAGAAAATTTACAGAACGGTAGCGAGAGATTTTGTCAAGTGACCTTGAATCTGCAAAGAACACCTTATATACCTGATAACAAATAATCACGCACACTGTCAAAATAACTCACGCGACAAATACCAACACATCCGTATGCAAAGCACTGAAGCAACGTGCATTCCTTAACGCGAGAAAATACATTTAGTTTGTGGGTTTTTAATACACGGAAGCATACAACTAACCAAGAGAGAATGAACTAACTCATTCAGGGTTATACGTGTCAGGTTTTACAGCACTGTATCTTCTGGTTGGAAAGTCGATATAGTTTACTTGCTCGAGTTTCTGATAGAGAAAAGAGTTTCTGATAGATAAAAAGTCGAAATCCGGGCACATGTTCTTTTTCCCTAAATTTGCACATACCTTTGATCAAGTCGTTGTGTTTCCAAATTTTAAACTTTAAAAAGTTTCAGACTTGTCTAGCTTTGTCTGGAAAAAGGTTATACCCTGGAGAAAGCTGACTTGTTAGTTTTTTGGCGCACCAATAAAGCTAAACCGTTTACACTTCGGATACTGTTTGTTTGTTCTTTTCTAGATCCAGCGGAACACAGACTGATCATTTATCGCGTTGTCACTAGACATTTTTCTAGAGAGTACAGTTATGTGCTTTTTAATGGGTATGGCCACGTGCGATCAAAGGACACGCAAATATGTTTTTTCAATTAATCCATGACACAAGCAGAAATTTTTATTCAAAATTGATAGTGAGAAAGCTTTCGTATTTTCATGACCTTTTAGCAGTCTGTGTCATCTATCTTTCACGCAGACAGAACCGGTAAAGTGTCTTAATTTATTCGATCAGCACGTGTTGTTTTGATTTTGACGCACTTTTCTGGCGGCGAGCGCGCGAACAATGAACGTTTACAATCGTTGCATAGCAACGAGACATCGGTCTCTTTTTACATGTGGGCTTCCCGGGTAGAGGTTCATAAAACACAAGGGCATTTTATATAATTTCTTGTCAGGCTCATTTCAGCAAACAGTTTGAAAGCCAAGATAAACCATGAGAATCTGAGATTATAAACTGGGAACATAGGCACGAGAGGAATTTACACCGTTCTAAAATTGGGTATTTCGCCGGAAGCGAAATTAAATTACAAGTATTTGACCGCGAGCACAACCTTGTACTCCAAGTAACGTTACGTTGATAACACGTTTATGTAACAGCAATGGACTACAAACGAGGAACATAAAAGGCTGCTAGGAGCAGCTTTTTGTCATGGGCTGTGGTGCTTCAAAAGTTACACCACAAAGCGGTGAAGATACCAAGCCTTTGAACACGAGCACGAAAACGATCGACCACGACGTTAGACCAAATGGTCATGCCAATGGCAAGATACACCACCGTCCGAAATCGAGCAATGACAAAGAGGTAAAAGTTTCAAAAACAGTGGAAGAAAGTAAGGCTGTACATAACGGAGGAATTCACTTGAATTCGCTGGGAAACAAAGATGTTTTCCATAAACAATCTTTTGATAAACAAGCCGATGATACAGTTACTGCTGAAAATGGTGAGTCATATTTAACTGGATTAAAGTTCAAAAACTTGGAACCTATTTATAAAATGCACTCCTTTGTAATAAAATTATTGCCACTTTTGCATCGGTTTGATTACCACGCTTTCCTTATAACTTTAATAAGTAAGTGTTCAAATAATCGATATATTTCACTCGACCCCTGGCGTGTAATAGTATCTTCGTTGCTTTAAATATATAATGTCAGTACATTTTCTCCAAGCAATTTTGATCATATTACATTTTAAACTTTGTTTACATGGAGATTTGTCTAAATCAACGATTACGCTTTTTGTCATTAGAGTGGGTTGATTTTACAGCTTAGTGCAAACATTTTTATGTGTTTATTTGAAACACATTCCTCACGATATGGTTATTTGCTAAGAAATGAATACATTATTTGAATAGCAACTAATTGTTATGTTGATGCGAGACGTAGATGTGCTTCATTTGCATTCTAAAAATCTCCAAAAGTTCTCTAATCTTGGCAGCTTGGACAAATACAAATTTATGCCCAATTGAGTGTTTAAAAAAGAGTTTATGCAGAACTTGGCCATTACAAAAATTAAGATAATTATTTATCACCTCAACATTTAGTTATTGAATAAGACATTTCTTTCTTCAAGAGTTTTGTATAGATATTTATTTCTCCTGTACAGGCAACTCCCTTTATAGCAGACACTGTAAGGGCCTTGAGTTAGTGTCCTCATTAGCGAGATTCTGTAATAGAGAGGAGAAGTCGTTATGTCACATTGCCATGGTAGCAAAAATTTTCGATGACAATCACTTAAAAGTCTATTCGCACTATTTCAAACTTTACTGATCTTATTCAATGTCATTTAATTTGGTTAATCTTGGCAAAAGTTTCTTTGGGACCTTATCTATTGTTATCTAAGTTTTAGAAAAAGAAAGCGACAATTTTTGTGTTGTGTTCACCTACTCTATAAAGCGAGCTCATGAAATTAGTAAGTTTCATGTCATAGTGGTGCAATGGCGGCAAAGAAATGTACAAAATAGAATGATACACGTGCAAAATTGTCTTTTGTTGATATAAACAGTTTATTTTTCGCCATTCTCCTTGCCATCACCGTTGTCGCTGGTTTTGTTGTCATCCAGAAATAGTGCTACCATGGTAACATGATGTCACACTTCTCCTCTCTATAGCGGGAGTTTATCTCAGTCAAACATCTGTAATTTAATTTGCTTGGGATTTAGCTGCTGCCCGTATATTGTGGTGTCTGTTATGGCAGGGTGCCTGCAAGGCAAGCGTTGACTGTATAGTAGTGGGAGACTAGAGCTATTCTGGCTATAAGGTGGCTCTAAAGTTGCAAGGAAGGGGTGATTGATGGTCCCACATACTTTAAGTGGATGGGGACAGGGGGATATCTCCCAAAATAACTATGAGTCTGCGCCATCTGCATTTGAGATGTTTTCTGGAATGGGGTCAATCCTTATCATAGTTGATCAGCAATAAAATAAAATATTATTCAAGGGTACTAATAAAGGAAGGGTTTCCTTAAAAAGGGGCACTTGTAAGGACCTAGGGACTGGGGACCGTTCATTTTT